TCATCCTCAGCTGAGGAACCGCTCAGGAACCCATGGGAACCATCCTCATCCTCATCCTCAGGTGAGAAACAGCTGAGGAATCCATCCATCCATCCATCCGTCCATCCATCCATCCATCCATCCGTCCGTCCATCTGTCCATCCATCCATCCATCCATCCGTCCATCCATCCATCCATCCATCCATCCACCCATCCATCCATCCATGCATCCGTCCATCCATCCGTCCGTCCATCCATCATCCATCCATCCATCCATGGACACTGTCCGTCCATCCATTCATCCATCCATCATCCATCCATCCATGGACATTGTCCATCCATCCATCATCCATCCATCCATCCATCCATCCATCCATCCACCATCCACCCATGGACATTGTCCATCCATCCATCCATCCATCCATCCATGGACACTGTCCGTCCGTCCATCCATCCATCCATCCATCATCCATCCATCCACGGACATTGTCCATCCATCCATCATCCATCCATCCACCCATCCATCCATCCATCCACCATCCACCCATGGACATTGTCCATCCATCCATCCATCCCAACGTTGTCCATCCGTCCCGTTGTCCCACCATGAGCCTCCTCATCCTCTCCTTCTCGATGCGCTCGTTCTCCTTCCATCCATCCACCCATCCATCCATCTATCCACCATCCACCCATGGACACTGTCCGTCCATCCATCCATCATCCATCCATCCATCCACCCATGGACACTGTCCGTCCATCCATCCACCCCAACGTTGTCCATCCGTCCCGCTGCCCCACCATGAGCCTCCTCATCCTCTCCTTCTCGATGCGCTCGTTCTCCATCCATCCATCCATGGACATTGTCCATCCATCCATCATCCATCCATCCATCATCCATCCATCCATGGACACTGTCCATCCATCCATCATCCATCCATCCATCCATCCATCCATCCATGGACACTGTCCGTCCATCCATCCATCATCCATCCATCCATCATCTATCCATCCATGGACACTGTCCGTCCATCCATCCATCCATCCATCCACCATCCACCCATGGACACTGTCCGTCCATCCATCCATCCATCCGTCCATCCATCCATCCATCATCCATCCATCCATCATCCATCCATCCGTCCATCCATCTATCCATGGACACTGTCCGTCCATCCATCCATCATCCATCCATCCATCCACCCATGGACACTGTCCATCCATCCATCCACCCCAACGTTGTCCATCCGTCCCGCTGTCCCACCATGAGCCTCCTCATCCTCTCCTTCTCGATGCGCTCGTTCTCCTTCTTCTGCTCGCGCTCGGTGTTGGCGTGGTAGGTGGCCACGGCCTTGGTGAGCTTCTGGATCTTGCCGCTGACGCTCCGGTGGTACTCCTTGAAGTCCTTGGCGTGCTGCAGGATGCTGTTGAGGTATTCCTGTGGAGGAGAACGAGAAGGTCAACGCGGTGGGAATGGCAGGAGAAGGTGGACTGGAGGAGATGGAGGGGTTGGGTGGAGGTTGGAGGTTCTGGTGGGTCAGGAGAGGGTTGTGATGGTCAGGAGAAGGTTATGATGGTCAGCAGAAGGTCCTAATGGTCAGCAGAAAGTTCTGATGGTCAGGAAAGGGTTGTGATGGTCAGGAAAGGGTTCTACTGGTCAGGAGAGGGTTGTGATGGTCAGGAGAAGGTTGTGATGGTCAGGAGAAGTTCTGATGGTCAGGAGAAGGTTGTGATGGTCAGGAAAGGGTTCTGGTGGTCAGGAGAGGGTTGTGATGGTCAAGAGAGGGTTCTGATGGTCAGCAGAAGGTTCTACTGGCCAGCAGAAGGTCCTGACGGTCAGGAGAGGGTTCTGATGGTCAGGAGAAGGTCCTAATGGTCAGCAGAAGGTTCTAATGGTCAGCAGAAGGTTCTAATGGTCAGCAGAAGGTTCTAATGGTCAGTAGAAGGTCCTGAGGGTCAGTAGAGGGTGCTGACGGTCAGTGGAAGGTCCTAATGGTCAGTAGAAGGTTGTGATGGTCAGGAGAGGGTTCTGGTGGTCAGGAGAGGGTTGTGATGGTCAGGAGAGGGTTGTGATGGTCAGTAGAGGTTTCTAATGGTCAGTAGAGGGTTCTGATGGTCAGCAGAAGTTCCTGAGGGTCAGCAGAAGGTCCTAATGGTCACTAGAGGGGTCTAATGGTCAGCAGAGGGTTCTGACGGTCAGTGGAAGGTCCTAATGGTCAGTAGAAGGTTGTGATGGTCAGGAGAGGGTTCTGATGGTCAGGAGAGGTTCTGATGGTCAGGAGACGGTTCTGAGGGTGAGGAGAGGGTCCCAGAAGACATTGCATGGTCCCAGTGGTCAGTAGAAGGTCACAATGGTCAGTAGAAGGTCTCAATGGTCAACAGAGGGTCCCAATGGTCAGCAGAAAAGCCCAGCAGCCACCATATGGTCCCAGTGGTCAGTAGAAGGCGTCAACGGCCAGTAGAAGGTCCCAATGACCATCAGAGGCTCCCACCAGCCATCAGGTTGTCTCAAGTCCCATTGAGCGCTCCCAAGAGCCACCACCAAACCTTGGACCACCAACCGCCACCCCCAACCCCCTGAAATCCCTGAAAATCCCCGGAATTCTCCGGAATTTCCATGGAATTCCCACCCCCAAACCCCCCCCCCGAGGAAAGCCCCGACCTGGTGCTTCTGGCGGCGCTTCCTCTCCTGCTCGATCTTCTGCTGCTTCTCCAGCTTCTCGGTGATGCGCGCCTCGCGCAGCGACTGCCGCTTGCTGCGCTTGTAGGCCTTGGCGTTGAGCGCCGTCTCCAGCGCCGTGTCGCGCCGCATGCACACCACCACCTCCTGCCGCAGCTGGGGACCCCAAAAAAGAGAAAACCGAGGTCGGTTCGGGGGCCACCACAAAGTTCCTGTGCTCCTGACGCAGCTAGAACCCCAAAAGAACGTCCATGAGGTCGTTACGGGGGCCACCACAAGGTTCCTGCTCCTAATTTCCCTGTGGTTTTTTTGGGGGTCACCACAAGGTTCCCGGTCCCAAATTTTGGTGTTCCCACTGCTCCTGATGCAGTTGGAACCTCAAAAGAACGTCCAGGAGGTCATTATGGGGGCCACCACCAGGTTCCTGGTTCCAAATTTTGCTTTTTGTGGAAGCCACCACCAGAATCAAATCCTGGTTTTCTTGGGAGCCACCACAATGTTTCTGGTCCCAAATTTTGGTTTTTGTGGAAGCCACCACAAGGGGCTGGTGCGCTTGTAGGCCTTGGCGTTGAGCGCCGTCTCCAGCGCCGTGTCGCGCCGCATGCACACCACCACCTCCTGCCGCAGCTGGGGACCCCAAAAAAGAGAAAACCGAGGTCGGTTCGGGGGCCACCACAAAGTTCCTGGTCCTAAATTTGGGTTTTTGTGGGAGCCACCACCAGAAGAAAATCCTGGGTTTTTTTGGGAGCCACCACCACCTCCTGCCGCAGCTGCAACACGAAGAGAACGTCCAGGAGGTCGTTATGGGGGGCCACCACAAGGTTCCTGGTCCCAAATTTTGGTTTCTTTGGGAGCCACCACCAGGTGGTGCTCCTGCCGCAGCTGGAAACCCAAAAAGAACGTCCATGAGGTCGTTATGGGGGGCCACCACAAAGTTCCTGGTCCCAAATCTCCTGTGGTTTTTTTGGGGGCCACCACAAGGTTCCTGGTCCCAAATCCTGGTGGTCCTGGTGCTCCTGCCGCAGCTGCAAACCCCAAAAGAACGTCCAGGACGTCGCTATGGGGGCCACCACAAGGTTCCTGCTCCTAATTTCCCTGTGGTTTTTTTGGGGGCCACCACAAGGTTCCTGCTCCCAAATCTTGGTTATTTTGGGAGCCACCACCACCTCCTGCCGCAGCTGGGGACCCCAAAAAAGAGAAAACCGAGGTCGTTTTGGGGGCCACCATGAGGTTCCTGGTCCCAAATCTCCTGTGGTTTTTTTGGGGGCCACCACAAGGTTCCTGGTCCCATATTTTGGTTATTTTGGGAGCCACCACCACCTCCTGCCGCAGCTGCAACACCAAGAGAACGTCCAGGAGGTCGTTACGGGGGCCACCACAAGGTTCCTGCTCCTAAATTCCCTGTGGTTTTTTTGGGGGTCACCACAAGGTTCCTGCTCCCAAATTTTGGTTATTTTGGGAGCCACCACCACCTCCTGCCGCAGCTGGAAACCCCAAGAAAGAGAAAACTGAGGTCGGTTTGGGGGCCACCACAAAGTTCCTGGTCCTAAATTCTGGTTTCTTTGGGAGCCACCACCAGAACATTCTCGCTCCCAAATTGTGGTTTTGGGAGCCACCACCACCAGGTTCCTGCTCCCAAATTTTGGTTTTTGTGGGAGCCACCACCAGAACCAGACCCTGTTTTTTTTGGGAGCCACCACCACCAGGTTCCTGCTCCCAAATTTTGGTTTTTGTGGGAGCCACCACCAGAATCAAATCCTGGTATTTTTGGGAGCCACCACCACAAGGTTCCTGCTCCCAAATCCTGGTGGTCCTGGTGCTCCTGCTGGGGCTGGAACCCCAAAAGAACATCCAGGAGGTCGTTATGGGGGCCACCACAAGGTTCCTGGTCCCAAATTTTGGTTTCTTTGAGTCCCACCACCACAACGTTCCTGCTACCAAATCCTGGTGGTGTTCCTGGTGCTCCTGACACAGCTGAAATTCCTGAGGCCATTTTGGGAGCCACCACCACAAGGTTCCTGCTCCCAAATTTTGGTTTTTGTGGAAGCCACCACCAGAACCAGACCCTGGTTTTTTTGGGAGCCACCACCACAAGGTTCCTGCTCCCAAATTTTGGTTTTTGTGGAAGCCACCACCAGAATCCAATCCTGGTATTTTTGGGAGCCACCACAACATTCCTGGTCCCAAATTTTGGTGTTCCCAGTGCTCCTGATGCAGCTGGAACCCCAAAAGAACATCCAGGAGGCCGTTTTGGGGGACACCACAATGTTCCTGGTCCCCAATCTCCTGTGGTTTTTTTGGGAACCACCACCAGAACCAAATCCTGGTTTTTTTGGGAGCCACCACAATGTTCCTGCTCCCAAATCCTGGATTTTTTGGAGCCATCACCCCAAGGTTCCTGCTCCCAAATCGTGGATTTTTTTGGGAGCCACCACCACAACGTTCCTGCTCCAAAATCCTGGATTTTTGATTTTTTGGGAGCCACCACCACTCCCAAATCCTGGATTTTTTTTTGGGATCTACCACAACGTTCCTGCTCCCAAATCCTGAATTTTTTGGGATCTACCACAACGTTCCTGCACCCAAATCCTGGATTTTTTGGGAACCACCACCACAACGTTCCTGCTCCAAAATCCTGGATTTTTGATTTTTTGTGAGCCACCACCACTCCCAAATCCTGGGTTTTTTGGGATCTGCCACAACGTTCCTGCTCCCAAATCCTGAAATTTTTGGGATCTACCACAATGTTCCTGCACCCAAATCCTGATTCTTTTTGGAGCCACCACCACTCCCAGATTCTTGGTTTTTTTGGGATCTACCCCAACATTCCTGCTCCCAAATCCTGGATTTTTGATTTTTTGGGAGCCACCACCACTCCCAAATCCTGGGGGTTTTTTTGGGAGCCACCACCACAACGTTCCTGCTCCCAAATCCTGGATTTTTGATTTTTTGGGAGCCACCACCACTCCCAAATCCTGGTTTTCTTTGAGATCTACCACAACGTTCCTGGTTCCAAATCCTGAATTTTTTGGGATCTAGCACCACAACGTTCCTGCTCCCAAATCCTGGATTTTTGATTTTTTGGGAGCCACCACCACAACGTTCCTGCTCCCAAATCCTGAAATTTTTGGCAGCCACCACCACTCCCAAATCCTGGATTTTTTTTTTGGGATCCACCCCAACGTTCCCGCTCCCAAACCCAGCCCTCACCTGGCGCTGGAAGTTGAGCAGCCTCAGGGCCTTGAGCTCGATGGTGGCTTTGGTCCTCAGGTCTCCGGCCAAGGAGCCGGGCAGGTTCTCCAGCTCCTGGATGCGGTGGGCGATGCGGGCTTGGAGCCTGCGGAGGATGAGGAGGAGGAGGAGGAGGAGGAGGAAGATTTGGGATGATTTCAGCTTGTAATTCCCGTTTGGAAGAGGGTGGGAGTGGTGGGAAGTCACCTCCAGAATTTTGGGATGAGTTGGGATGGGATGGAGAAGAAAAATGAGAAGGAGGTGAAGGGGGAGAAGGAGGAAAGGAGAGGAGGAGGAGGAAGGAGAGGAAAAGGAAGAGGAAGAAGAAAAAAAGGATGGGAGGAAGAAAGTCCCAGAAGGTCTCAGGAAGAAGAAAGAAACGAAGAAGAGGAGGTGATGGAAAGCTCCAGAAGATCTCATGAAGAAAGAAAGAGAGAAATGAAGAAGAGGAGGAGGAGGAGGAAGGTTCCAGAAGATCTCATGAAGAAAGAAGGAGAGAAATGAAGAAGAGGAGGAGAAAGGGTCCAGAAGTTCTCATGAAGAGAGAAATGGAGAAGAGGAGGTGATGGAAAGCTCCGGAAGAGCTCCTGAAGAAAGAAAGAGAGAAATGAAGAAGAGGAGGAGGAGAAGAAGGAGAAGAAGAAGGAAGAGGAGGAGGAGAAGGAGAAGAAGGAGGAGGAGGAGGAAAGCTCCAGAACATCTCATGAAAAAGGGAGAAAAATGAAGAAGAGGAGGACATGGAAGGTTCTAGAAGGTCTCAGGAAGAAGGAAAAAAAGGAGAGAAATTAAGAAGAGGAGGACATGGAAGGTTCCAGAAGCTCCCATGAAGAAAGGAGAGAAATGAAGAAGAGGAGGACATGGAAGGTTCCAGAAGCTCTCCTGCAGAAGGAACCCCATCCAACCCCACCCAGGAGGACGTGGAAGGTTCCAGAAGATCCCATGAAGAAAGGAGAGAAATGAAGAAGAGGAGGACATGGAAGGTTCCAGAAGCTCTCCTGCAGAAGGAACCTCATCCCACCCCACCCAGGAGGACGTGGAAGGTTCCAGAAGGTCTCATGAAGAAGGGAAAAAAGGAGAGAAATTAAGAAGAGGAGGACATGGAAGGTTCCAGAAGCTCTCATGAAGAAAGGAGAGAAATGAAGAAGAGGAGGATGTGGAAGGTCCCAGAAGCTCTCCTGCAGAAGGAACCCCACCCAACCCCACCCAGGAGGACGTAGAAGGTTCCAGAAGATCCCATGAAGAAAGGAACAAAGAAAGAGAGAAATGGAGAAGAGGAGGACCTCGAAGGTTCTAGAAGGTCTCAGGAAGAAGGGAAAAAAGGGACAGAAATGAAGAAGAGGAGGACATGGAAGGTCCCAGAAGCTCTCCTGCAGAAGGAACCCCACCCAACCCCACCCAGGAGGACGTGGAAGGTTCCAGAAGTTCTCATGAAGAAGAAGTGAAGAAGAGAAGGATGCAGAAGGTTCCAGAAGCTCTCATGAAGAAGAAATGAAGAAGAGAAGGATGCAGAAGGTTCCAGAAGCTCTCATGAAGAAGAAATGAAGAAGAGAAGGATGCAGAAGGTTCCAGAAGCTCTCATGAAGAAGAAGTAAAGAAGAGAAGGATGCAGAAGGTTCCAGAAGCTCTCATGAAGAGGAAATGAAGAAGAGAAGGATGCAGAAGGTTCCAGAAGCTCTCATGAAGAAGAAATGAAGAAGAGAAGGATGTAGAAGGTTCCAGAAGCTCTCATGAAGAGGAAATGAAGAAGAGAAGGATGCAGAAGGTTCCAGAAGCTCTCATGAAGAAGAAATGAAGAAGAGAAGGATGCAGAAGGTTCCAGAAGCTCTCAGGAAGAAGAAGTGAAGAAGAGAAGGATGCAGAAGGTTCCAGAAGCTCTCACGAAGAAGAAGTGAAGAAGAGAAGGATGCAGAAGGTTCCAGAAGCTCTCACGAAGAAGAAGTGAAGAAGAGAAGGATGCAGAAGGTTCCAGAAGCTCTCATGAAGAAGAAATGAAAAAGAGAAGGATGTAGAAGGTTCCAGAAGCTCTCATGAAGAAGAAATGAAGAAGAGAAGGATGCAGAAGGTTCCAGAAGCTCTCATGAAGAAGAAATGAAGAAGAGAAGGATGCAGAAGGTTCCAGAAGCTCTCACGAAGAAGAAGTGAAGAAGAGAAGGATGCAGAAGGTTCCAGAAGCTCTCATGAAGAAGAAGTGAAGAAGAGAAGGATGCAGAAGGTTCCAGAAGCTCTCATGAAGAAGAAGTGAAGAAGAGAAGGATGCAGAAGGTTCCAGAAGCTCTCATGAAGAGGAAATGAAGAAGAGAAGGATGCAGAAGGTTCCAGAAGCTCTCATGAAGAGGAAATGAAGAAGAGAAGGATGCAGAAGGTTCCAGAAGTTCTCATGAAGAAGAAGTGAAGAAGAGAAGGATGCAGAAGGTTCCAGAAGCTCTCATGAAGAAGAAGTAAAGAAGAGAAGGATGCAGAAGGTTCCAGAAGCTCTCATGAAGAAGAAGTGAAGAAGAGAAGGATGCAGAAGGTTCCAGAAGCTCTCATGAAGAAGAAGTGAAGAAGAGAAGGATGCAGAAGGTTCCAGAAGCTCTCATGAAGAAGAAGTGAAGAAGAGAAGGATGCAGAAGGTTCCAGAAGCTCTCATGAAGAAGAAGTGAAGAAGAGAAGGATGCAGAAGGTTCCAGAAGCTCTCACGAAGAAGTGAAGAAGAGAAGGATGCAGAAGGTTCCAGAAGCTCTCATGAAGAAGAAGTGAAGAAGAGAAGGATGCAGAAGGTTCCAGAAGCTCTCACGAAGAAGTGAAGAAGAGAAGGATGCAGAAGGTTCCAGAAGCTCTCATGAAGAAGAAGTAAAGAAGAGAAGGATGTAGAAGGTTCCAGAAGCTCTCGTGAAGAAGAAGTGAAGAAGAGAAGGATGCAGAAGGTTCCAGAAGCTCTCCTGCCACCCCACCCCTCCGTACCTGTACTCCCTCTCCTGCAGGATCTCCACGGGGTCGAGCCCGCGCGGTTTCTGGATGGGGGTGATGCGGTTCTGCTTGGCGTGCATGGGCAGCGCCGGCGGCGCCGGCTGCCCCGGCGAGGGCGGGGGGGGCCCGGGCGAGGCCGGCGGCACCGCGGGGGGCACCGGGGACGGGCGGCCGGCGGGGGGGGGCGGCAGCAGCTTCTGGGGGGCCCCGCCCGGAGCCGCCGCCGACAGCGGGCCTGAGAGGGGGGAGAAAAAAACGGGAATTTTGGGGTTCAAATTTCACCAAAAAATCGAATTGTTCGGGCAGGAATTGATGGGAGTTAGATGAAAATATGAGTATCTGACTTGTGGAGAAATTCGTCCCGATTTCACCCAAAATTCCTATTTAGTTATGAGGAAATTGACCGTAAATATCCGAAAAAAGTCGAATTATTCATCCCAAAGCTTCTATAAATTACCTGGAAATTGACCTCAAATTCCCCCCAAAAAATTGAATTATTAAGTCCAAAATTTCTATTAGATACTGGAAATCAACCCTACATTCCCCCCAAAAAATCAAATTATTGGGGCAGGAATTAATAATTTGAGTATCTAAGTCGGGATGAGCTGGCGGAAAAATTTGTCCCAATTTCACCCGAAATTCCTATTTAGTTACATGGAAATTGACCCTAAATACCCCAAAAAAATCGAATTATTAAATCCAAAATTCCTATTAGTTACCTGGAAATCGACCCTAAAGAACCAAAAAAAATCACCCAAAATCATGAGGAAATCGACCCTAAATACCCCAAAAAAATCTAATTATTAATCCCAAAACTCCTATTAGGTTACTTGAAAATCAACCCTAAATACCCAAAAAATAATCGAATTCTTTGGGCAGGGAATGAAAAATTGGAGCATCTGACTTAGAAACAGCATGTGGAAAAAATTGTCCCAATTTCACCCAAAATTCCTATTAAATATGTGGAAATTGAGCCTAAAGAACCAAAAAAAATCACCCAAAATTATGAGGAAATCCACCTTAAATTCCCCCCAAAAATCAAATTATTATGGGAGGAGTTAAGGGGAGTTGCACAAATTAGGAGTATCTGACTTGTGGAGAAATTCATCCCAATTTCACCCAAAATTATGAGGAAATTGACCCTAAATCCGCCCCAAAAAAATCGAATTATTAAATCCAAAATTCCTATTAGTTACCTGGAAATCAATGCCTAAATCCTCCAAAAAAATCAAATTATTTGGGCAGGAATTAAGGGGAGTTAGACAAAAATTGGGGTGTCTGAATTGGGATGAGTTTGTGGAAAAAATTGTCCCAATTTCACCCAAAATTCCTATTGAGTTATGTGGAAAATTAACCCTAAATGCTCAAAAAAAAATCAATTTATTTGGTAAGGAATTATGATGAATTATACAAAAACTGGAGTATCTCTATTGGGGTGAGCTTGTGGAAACTCATCCCAATTTTTTTCCCAAAATTCCTAATAGTTAAATGGAACTAAAATTATATTTATATTTATATTTATATTTATATTTATATACCTGGAAATCAACCCTAAATCCCCCAAAAAATATGTTTATTTGGTCAGGAATGTAAAATTTGAATATCTGACTTGGGGTGAGCTTGTGGAGAAATTTGTCCCAGTTTCACCCAGAATTCCTATTTAGTTAGGAGGAAATCAACCCTAAATAACCAAAATCACCCAAAATTATGAGGAAATCAACCCTAAATAACGAAAAAATCAAATTATTAGGGGAGGAGTCAAGGGGAGTTGCACAAATTCGGAGTATCTGACTTGTGGATGAATTTGTCCAAAATTCCAGCCCCAATCCCAAGATTTTAACCAGGAATTTTTTTTTCCATTCTCACCCTCCCAGAGCTGAGAAATTTGGGGTTAATTTGCAGAAATTTGGGGTGAATTTTCAGGAATTTGGTGAATTTTGGGTGAAATTTGGTGAATTTTGGGTCTTACCTTCGGGCCAGGGTTTGGGGGGTCCCCCTGGGGGCTGTCCTGGCATTCCTGGGGGAACTCCTGAGGGTCCAGGAGGGGGCATGTTGGGCCCTCCTATTCCTGAAAATACCCAAAAATTAGGGAAAAATGGGAAAAAAAGGAGAAAACTCCCCAGAGATCCCTCAGGATAGAACGGGACAAACTCCCAGAGATCCCTCAGGATAGAACGGGACAAACTCTCCATAAATCCCAAGATGGAAACAGATGGAGATCCCCACATATCCCAGATGGAATGGGACAAACTCCCCACAAATCCCAGGATAAAATGGGACAAACTCTCCACAGATCCCAGGATGAAAAGGGATGAGTTCCTCACAAATCCCAGGACAGAATGGGACAAACTCCCCACAAATCCCAGGATGGAATGGGATGAGTTCCCCAAAGATCCCAGGACAGAACAAGGACAAATTCCTCAAAGATTCCAGGACAGAACGGGACAAACTCCCCTCAGATCCCAGGATGAAAAGGGATGAGTTTCCCACAAATCCCAGGATGGAATGGGACAAACACCCCAAAAATCCCAGGACAGATGCCAGGATGAAAAAGGATGAGGCCCCCCCAGATCCCAGGATGGAATGGAACAAACTCCCCACAGATCCCAGAATGGAATGGGACAAACTCCCCACATATGCCAGGACAGAATGGGACAAATTCCCCACAAATCCCAGGACAGATCCCAGGATGAAAAGGGACGAGGCCCCCTCAGATCCCAGGATGGAATGGAACAAAGTCCCCACAGATCCCAGGACGGAAAGGGATGAATTCCTCACATATCCCGGGACAGAATGGGACAAACTCCCCAATAAATCCCAGGATGGAACGGGACAAACTCCCCACAAATCCCAGGACAGAATGGGACAAACTCCCCACAGATCCCAGGATGAAAAGGAATGAGTTCCCCACATATCCCAAGATGGAATGGAACAAACTCCTCACAAATCCCAGGACGGAATGGGACAAACTCCTCACAAATCCCAGGACGGAATGGGACAAACTCCTCACAAATCCCAGGATGGAACAGGACAAACTCCCCACAGATTCCCCAGACAGAACAAGGACAAATTCCCCTCAGATCCCCAAAGACAGAACAGGACAAACACCCCACAGATCCCAGGGTGGAACAGGACAAACTCCCTTCAGATCCCAGGACAGAACAAGGACAAATTCCTCACATATGCCGGGACAGAATGGGACAAACTCCCAGTAAATCCAGGATGGAACGGGACAAACTCCCCACAAATCCCAGGACAGAACAGGACAAACTCCCCACAGATCCAAGATGGAAACAGATGGAGACCCCCACATATCCCAGATGGAACAGGACAAACTCCCCACAAATCCCAGGATAAAATGGGAAAAACTCTCCACAGATCCCAGGATGAAAAGGGATGAGTTACTCACATATCCCAGAACAGAATGGGACAAACTCCCCACAAATCCCAGGATGGAATGGGATGAGTTCCCCAAAGATCCCAGGACAGAACAAGGACAAATTCCTCAAAGATTCCAGGACAGAACGGGACAAACTCCCCTCAGATCCCAGGATGAAAAGGGATGAGTTTCCCACAAATCCCAGGATGGAATGGGACAAACACCCCAAAAATCCCAGGACAGATGCCAGGATGAAAAAGGATGAGGCCCCCCAGATCCCAGGATGGAATGGAACAAACTCCCCACAGATCCCAGAATGGAATGGGACAAACTCCCACATATGCCAGGACAGAATGGGACAAATTCCCCACAAATCCCAGGACAGATCCCAGGATGAAAAGGGATGAGGCCCCCTCAGATCCCAGGATGGAACGGAACAAAGTCCCCACAGATCCCAGGACGGAAAGGGATGAATTCCTCACATATCCCAGGACAGAATGGGACAAACTCCCCAGTAAATCCCAGGATGGAACGGGACAAACTCCCACAAATCCCAGGACAGAATGGGACAAACTCCCCACAGATCCCAGGATGAAAAGGAATGAGTTCCCCACATATCCCAAGATGGAATGGAACAAACTCCTCACAAATCCCAGGACGGAAATGGGACAAACTCCTCACAAATCCCAGGACGGAATGGGACAAACTCCTCACCAAATCCCAGGACGGAATGGACAAACTCCCCACAGATTCCCCAGACAGAACAAGGACAAATTCCCCTCAGATCCCCAAAGACAGAACAGGACAAACACCCCACAGATCCCAGGGTGGAACAGGACAAACTCCCTTCAGATCCCAGGACAGAACAAGGACAAATTCCTCACATATGCCGGGACAGAATGGGACAAACTCCCCACAAATCCCAGGACAGAACAGGACAAACTCCCCACAGATCCCAAGATGGAAACAGATGGAGACCCCCACATATCCCAGATGGAACAGGACAAACTCCCCACAAATCCCAGGATAAAATGGGAAAAACTCTCCACAGATCCCAGGATGAAAAGGGATGAGTTACTCACATATCCCAGAACAGAATGGGACAAACTCCCCACAAATCCCAGGATGGAATGGGATGAGTTCCCCAAAGATCCCAGGACAGAACAAGGACAAATTCCTCAAAGATTCCAGGACAGAACGGGACAAACTCCCCTCAGATCCCAGGATGAAAAGGGATGAGTTTCCCACAAATCCCAGGATGGAATGGGACAAACACCCCACAAATCCCAGGACAGATCCCAGGATGAAAAGGGATGAATGCCTCACATATCCTTCAACAGAACGGGACGAACTGCCCCCAAAACCCCCCAAAACCCCTCCCCCATTACCCCAAACCCCCTCCCCCACTCCCCCACCCCCCTCCTCACCGTGAGGTCTGGAGTATCCGGGCGGCGCCGGCCCCGCTCCGGGCGCTTGCCCCGGGCCCTGCGCGGCCCCGGCGGGCGGAGGTAGAGCCGGGATCTGCGGCTGCATCCCCGGCAGCGGCCGCTTGCCCTGCACGGCCACCTGCAGGTGCTCGGGCAGGGGCTGCCCCCGCGCCAGCAGCTTGTAGGCCATGATCTGGGCCCGCAGCTGGTGCAGCTGGGCGGCGTTGAAGGGCGAAGGGCCCCGGCCCAAGGCGGGGGAGTCGGAACCGGAACCGTCCAGGGCGGCGCCGAGCCGCGGCGGAGCTGCCGGAGGGGCCGTTGGAGGGGACGGGGCTGGAGGCGTGCTCGGAGCCGCCCAGAGGGGAGGGGTAACCTGAGGGACACAGAAAAATGGGTGGGGAGATGTTGAATCCATCCCCGAGGCAGCTGGAATTGGAAATCTGCTCCCCAGTCCATCCCTGAGGCATTTGGGGATGGGTATTTCATTCCAAAATCTGTCCTTGAGGTATTTGGAATGGGAATGCCATTCCCAATCCATCCCTGAAGCGTTTAGAAAGAGAAATCCCATCCCAATCCATCCCTGAGGCACCTGGAATGGGAAATCCCATGACCAATTTATCCCCGAACCATTTGAAATGGGAAATCCCATTCTCAACCCAACCTTAAGGCAGATGGAACGGGAATCTCACTCCTAATCCATTTGAAGGATTTGGAATGGGAAATCCTACTCCCAATCCATCCCTGAGGTAGTTGGAATGGAAATCCCATTCCCAACCCATACTTGAGTAATTTGGGATGAGAAATCCCATTCCCAACCCATCCCTGAGGCAATTGGGATGGAAATCCCATTTCCAGTCCATCCCTAAAACGTTTGGAATGGGAAATTCTATTCCCAGTTCATCCTTCAGGTAGTTGAAATTGGAAATTCCATTCCCAATCCATCCCTGAGGCAGTTGGAATAGAAATTCCATTTCCCATCCATCCTGATGCAGTTAGAATGGGAAATTCCATTCCCCAATCCATCCCTGATGCAGTTGGAATGGGAAATCCCATTCCCAATCCATCCCTAAACAATTTGGAATGGGAAATTTCATTCCCAATCCATCCTTGAGGCATTTGAAATGGAAATCCCATTCCAAATCACATATCCTTGAGGCAGCTGGAATGGGAAATCCCATCCCCAATTTATCCCTGAACCATTTGGAATAGGAAATCCCGTTCCCAAACCATCCTTGAGGCATTTGGGATGGGAATTTCACTCCCAATCCATCCCTGAGGCAGCTGGAATTGGAAATCTGCTCCCCAGTCCATCCCTGAAGCAGCTGGAATGGGAAATTCCATTCCAAATTTATCCCTGAACCATTTAGAATGGGAAATTCCATTCCCAATCCATCCCTGAAACATTTGGAATGGGAAATTCCATTCCCAATCCATCCTTGAAGAATTTGGAACAGGAATCTCGCTCCTAATCCAACCTTGAGGTAGTTGGAATGCAAATCCCATTCCCAATCCATCCCTGATGCAGTTGGAATAGAAATTCCATTCCCAATCCATTCTTGAGGCATTTGGAAAGAGAAATCCCATTCCCAATCCATTCCTGAAGGTCTTAGAAAGAGAAATCTGCTCCCAAATCCATCCCTGAGGCAGCTGGAAGGGGAATTTCAATCCCAATCCATCCCTGATGCAGTTGGAATGGGAAATCCCATTCCCAATCCATCCCTGAGGCAGTTAGAATTGGAAATCCCATTTCCAATTTATCCCCGAGGCATTTGGAATGGGAAATTCTATTCCCAGTTCATCCTTGAGGCAGTTGGAATTGGAAATTCCATTCCCAACCCATCCCTAAGGTAGCTGGAATGGGAAATCCACTCCCAAATCTGTTAGGCAGGAATAAAGAGCAAGGAATTTGCACCCAAAATCCAAATTCAGGATTTGGACTCAGTTCCTCCCCTTCCCACGATCCCTATTTTGGGAATGCTGAAAACCTCCCAAAATCCAAGGATTTTCCAGAGATTTTCCAACGATTTCCCAAGGATTTTCCCAACTATTCCCCAAAGATTTTCCCAGGATTTTCCCCAATGATTTTCCCAACGATTTTCCCTGGATTTGCCCCAATGATTTCCCCAATGATTTTCCCAGGATTTTCCCAAGGATTTTCCCAGGATTTTCCAAGGATTTTCCAAGGATTGTCCCAACGATTTTCCCTGGATTTGCCCCAATGATTTTGCCAATGATTTCCCCAATGATTTTCCCAGGATTTTCCAAGGATTTTCCCAATGATTTTCCCTGGATTTTCCAAGGATTTGGTCACCATCCCCTCCCACCACAATACTAATTTTGGGAATGCTGAAAACCTCCCAAAATCCAAGGATTTTCCAAGGATTTTCCCCAATGATTTTCCCAGGATTTTCCAAATGATTTTCCCTGGATTTTCCCAATATTTTTTCAATGATTTTCCCAGGATTTTCCCCAAGGATTTTCCCAAAGATTTCCTGAGGATTTTCCCAATGATTTTCCCAGGATTTTCCCAAGGATTTTCTCATTACTTTCCCAAGGATTTTCTCAATGATTTTCCCAGGATTTTCCAAGGATTGTCCAAGGATTTTCCCAAGGATTTCCCCAAGGATTTCCCAATGATTTTCCCAACGATTTTCCCTGGATTTTCCCAATGATTTTCCAAGGATTTTCCCAATGATTTTCCCTGGCTTTGCCCAGGATTTTCCCAATGATTTCCCCAATGATTTTCCCAGGATTTTCTCAATGATTTTCCCAGGATTTTCCCACATTTTCCCAAGAATTTTCCCAGGATTTCCCCACGCTCCCAACCTTGGGAATGCTGATCCATGGGGCTGGGGGGGGGTCCCATCCCCGCGTGCCCCCCCGGGCGCATCCCCATTCCCTTCATCTGCCCGTAGCGAGGATCCTCCGCCATTCCCTTCTCGTGCATCGCGTCCAGGGGCTGCAAAAAAACATCCCAAAAAATCAGGGAAATCCTGGAAAAATTCTGTTCCAAACCCATAAAATAATATCCCAAAAAATCAGGGAATTCCTGGAAAAAATTCTGTTCCCAACCCACCCAACCCTAGAGAATTACATCCCAAGAAATCAGAGAATTCCTGGAAAAATTCTGCTCCCAACCCACAGAAATATATCCCAAAAAATCAGAGAATTCATGAAAAAATTCTTTTCCCAAACCACCCAACCCGCAGAATTATATCCCAAAAAATCAGAACATTCCTGCAGGAATTCCACAGAATTCTATCCCAAAAACTCGGAGAATTCCTGGAAAAAATTCTGTTCCAAACCCACAGAATTATATTCCAAAAAATCAGAGAATTCCTGGAAAAAATTCTGCTTCCAACCCACAGAATTATATCCCAAAAATTCAGAGGGTTCCTGGAAAAAAATCTGCTTCCAACCCACAGAATTATATTCCAAAAATTCAGAGAATTCCTGGAAAAAATTCTGCTTCCAACCCACAGAATTATATCCTGAAAATTCAGATTTCAGCAGATTTCACCATTTTTTTCTTCTCTTCTCCACCTTCCTCTCCTTCTTCTCTATCTTCTGTTTCTTCTTCTTCACCTCCTTCTTCTCCTCCTTCGTCTTCACCTTCTTCTCTTCTTCTCCACCTTCCTCTCCTTTTCCATCTTCTTCTTCACCTCCTTCTTCTTCTCCATCTTCTTCTTCACCACCTTCTTCTCCCTCTTCACCTTCTAGTTCACCTTGTTCTTCACCTTCCTCTCCTCCTTCTTCTCCATCTTCTTCCTCACCTCCTTTGATTTTGGAATTCTGGGATTCCTCACCTTGGATGGTCCCAAAACCATCAAGCCCAAACCTGAAGGTTTTTGAGGTCTGGAAATCTGGAATTCTGGGATTTTGAGGTCTGGAATTCTGGAATTCTGGGATTTTGAGGTCTGGAATTCTGGGATTTTGAGGTCTGGAATTCTGGGATTCCTCACCTTGGATGGTCCCAAAACCATCAAGCCCAAACATGAAGGGTTCTGAGGTCTGGAATTCTTGAATTTTGAGGTCTGGAATTCTGGAACTTTGAGGTCTAAAATTGTGGAATTGTGGAATTTGGAGGTCTGGAATTGTGGAATTCTGCAATTTTGAGGTCTGGGATTCTGGAATTCAATGATTTCAAGGTCTGGGATTCTGGAATTTTGAGGTCTGGAATTTTGAGGTCTGGAATTCTGGAATTCTGAGTTCTGGAATTCTGAGTTCTGGAATTCTGGGATTCTGAGGTCTGGAATTGTGGAATTCTGGAACTCTGGAATTTTGAGGTCTGGATTTGTGGGATTCTGGAATTTTGAGGTCTGGAATTCTGAAATTCTGGAATTTTGAGGTCTGGAATTCTGGAAATCTGGAATTTTGATGTCTGGAATTGAGGGATTCTGAGGTTTGGGATTCTGGAATTCTGGAACCCTGAAATTTTGGAATTTTGAGGTCTGGGATTCTGGAATTCTGGAACTCTAAGGTCTGGAACTCTGGAATTCTGGAATTTTGACGTCTGGAATTCTGGAATTTTGGAAATTTGAGGTCTGGAATTGTGGGATCTCACTCACCTTGTGCAGGGGGTGGATGGTCCCAACCCCACCAATCCCACCCAAAACTGAAGGTTTTTGACATCTGGAATTCTGGAATTTTGGGGTCTGGAATTCTGGGATTTTGAAGTCTGGAATTCTGAGGTCTGGAACTCTGGAATTCTGGGACTCTGAGGTCTGGAATTGTGGGATTCTGAGGTCTGGAATTCTGGAGTTATGAGGTCGGGAATTGTGGAATTCTGGAATCCTGAGGTCTGGGATTCTGAGATTCTGGAATTCTGGGATTCTGAAATTTTGAGGTCTGGGATTCTGAGATTCTGGAATTCTGAAATTTTGAGGTCTGGGATTCTGGAATTTGGAGGTCTGAAATTGTGGAATTCTGGGATTTTGGGGTCTGGAATTCTGGGATTCTGAAGTCTGGGATTCTGGAATCCTGAATTTCTGAGGTCTGGAATTCTGAAATTCTGGAATTCTGAGCTCTGGAATTCTGGAATTTTGAGATCTGGGATTCTGAGGTCTGGAATTCTGGAACTGTGGAATTTTGGGATTTTGGCGTTCCCGACTCACCTTGTGCAGGGGGTGGATGGTCCCAACCCCACCAATCCCACCCAAAACTGAAGGTTTGTGACATCTGGAATTCTGAGGTCTGGAATTCTGGAATTGTGGAATTTTGGGATTTTGGCGTTCCCGACTCACCTTGTGCAGGGGGTGGATGGTGTCGGGCGCGTAGCCCGGCGCCGGCAGCGCGTGCCCGGAGTGCCCGGAGTGGCCGGAGCCGGGGGAGGGGCCGGGGGAGGGGCCCAGCATGGAGCTGGGGGAGGGGCCGGGCCCGGGGGAGGGGCCGGGCCGGGGGGTCCCGCCCAGGGGGGGCTCCGGGGTGGCCATGTCACATCAGGGGCTGGCAACGGCACCTGGAACGGGGAAATGTGGGTTAATTAGCACAATAATTAATGATTAATGATTAATAATTGATTATTAATAATTCAGGGATTGAGAGAGAGCCAGGGGATCCCGCCCAGGGGGGGATCCGGGGCGGCCATGTCACATCAGGGGCTGGCAACGGCACCTGGAACGGGGAAATGTGGGTTAATTAGCACAATAATTAATGATTAATGATTAATAATTGATTATTAATAATTCAGGGATTGAGAGAGAGCCAGGGGATCCCGCCCAGGGGGGGCTCCGGGGTGGCCACGTCACATCAGGGGCTGGCAACGGCACCTGGAATGGGGAAATATGGCAATAATTAATGACTAATCAATCATTATTAATAATTTATTATTAATTATTAAACATTAATTATTAATAAAGGGATTGAGGGAGAGCCAGGGGGTCCCGCCCACGGGGGGCTCCGGGGTGGCCATGTCACATCAGGGGCTGGGAACGGCACCCGGAACGGGGAAATATGGTAATGATTAATGATTAATAATTAATAATTGATAATTAATAATTGATAATTAATAATTAATAATTCTGGGATTGAGGGAGAGCCAGGGGGTCCCGCCCAGGGGGGGCTCTGGGGTGGCCATGTCACATCAGGGGCTGGGAATGGCACCTGGAATGGGAATTTTGATTAATTATAGGAATAATCATTAATTAATAATAATTAATAATTGATAAGTAATGACAAATAATTCTGGAACTGAAGGAGCATCAGGTGGGAAATGTCCTTCCCAATTCATGGCCAAGGAATGAGCAAGGAACTCTCCACAGTTTGTGCTCCTCAGGCAGGAGGAATTAAAAAATAAAGATTTAAAATAAAATTAGGCAATTAAAATTTAAAATAATTTCATTTCAATTAAATAATTAAAATCTAATTATTTAAATAATTAAAATCTAATTAATTTTTTTTCTTCATTTATTACACCATTCTTCCTCTTTTTCATTGATTTTTTATTTAATTAAAATTATTTCATTTCAATTAAATAACTCAAATTTCTTTGAAATTTTCTCCATTCTTCCTCTTTTTAATTTCATTTAATTTTTTATTTAATTAAAATTATTTAATTTTAATTAAAGAATTTAGATTCAATTCCTTGAAATTTTCTCCATTCCTCTTTTCTTCATTTACTTTAATTTTTTTATTTAATACGAATTATTTTATCTTAATTAAATAATTTCAATTAGTTATTTGAAATTTTCTCCATTCCTCCTCTTTTTAATTTCATTTTTCATTCAATAAGAATTATTTCATTTTCATTTTAATAATTACAATTTTATTATTTGAAATTTTCTCCATTCCTCATCTTTTTGATTTAATTTAATTTAATTTAATTTAATTTAATTAATTTAACTTAATTTAATGTATGAAATCACCTACCTAAGGGCATGGCAGTCCTCAATGCCTCGCAGGGACGAGCTCCTAACATTAGGCTGGGGAAAAAAATGAGAATTAATTAGGAATTAATTAGGGAATTTCATTATCCAACAGCATTAGCAGAGCAGAAAATTCCTAAAAAATGGGAATTTCCTCATGGATGAGGCAAATTTGGGGGATTTTGGAGGAATTTCCAAACAGGATTCCCAAAAATATAACTGGGATTTTTAAATGGAATTCCCAAAAATATAACTGGGATTTTTAAATGGAATTCTCAAAAATATAATTGGGATTTTTAAATGGAATTCCTAAAAATATAATTGGGATTTTTAAATGGGATTCCCAAAAATGTAATTTGGATTTTTAAATGGCATTCCCAAAAATATAATTGCGATTTTTAAATATAATTTTTTGGGAAGGGTCTCAGTTTGGAGGGGGGGTCCAAGGGGGGGGTTCAGTGTCCTCAGGAAGGACAAAACCAGAAAAAATCCCGGAATATTTTGGGGGGAAAAAAGGGAAATTTGTGTGAAGATTTTGGGATATGGAGGAAAAGGAGGGAGAAAAAAGGGAATTTAATTTAGGGGGTGTGGGAAAAGCGGATTTGGGAGGAAATAGGGGGATAAAAAGGGGGGAAATGGGGGATTTAGGATGGGGGGGATCCTGTGAGGGGAGACTGATCCTGAGGGGGCTGAGGGGGGATTCTGTGAGGGGACCCCAAGATGGACGATCCTCTGAGGGGAAATAAATCCTGAGGGGGCTGAGGGAGAATCTTCTGAGGGGATTCCATGAGGGGATTCCAAGATGGACGATCCTCTGAGGGGAAATAAATCCTGAGGGGGCTGAGGGAGAATCCTCTGAGGGGATTCCATGAGGGAATTCCAAGATGGAGGATCCTCTGAGGGGGAATTGATCCTGAGGGGGCTGAGGGAGAATCCTCTGAGGGGATTCCATGAGGGAATTCCAAGATGGATGATCCTCGGAGGGGGGATTGATCCTGAGGGGCCTGAGGGAGAATCCTCTGAGGGGATTCCATGAGGGGGGATCCCAAGATGGAGGATCCTCTGAGGGGAAATAAATCCTGAGGGGGCTGAGGGAGAATCCTCTGAGGGGATTCCATGAGGGAATTCCAAGATGGAGGATCCTCTGAGGGGGAATTGATCCTGAGGGGGCTGAGGGAGAATCCTCTGAGGGGATTCCATGAGGGTGGACCCCAAGATGGAGGATCCTCTGAGGGAGGATCAATCCTGAGGGGGCTGAGGGAGGTTCTGAGGAGGGGGGATCCTCTGAGGGGGGATCCCATGAGGGGATTCCATGAGGGGGAATCGATCCTGGAGGGTTGAGGGAGAATCCTCTGAGGGGAACCTTTGAGGGGATCCTCTGAGGGGAAATAAATCCTGAGGGGGCTGAGGGGGGATCCCAAAATGGAGGATCCTCTGAGGGGGAATCAATCCTGAGGGGCCTGAGGGAGGATCCTCTGAGGGAACCTTTGAGGGGATCTTCTTAGGGGAAATTGAGGGGGGATCCTGAGGGGATTTCATGAGACGGGATCAATCCTGGGGAGACTGAGGGGAGATTTTCTGAGGGGATCCCATGATGGAGGATCCTCTGAGGGGGGATTGATGCTGAGGGGCCTGAGGGAGAATCCCCTGAGGGGATTCCATGAGGGGGGATCAATCCTGAGGGGGGATGCCATGAGAGGATCAGTCCTGAGGGGGCTGAGGGGGGATTTTCTGAGGGGAACCTTTGAGGGGATCCTCTGAGGGGGGTTCAGTCCTGAGGGAGCCGAGGGAGGATCCTCTGAGGGGGGACTCCTTGAGAGGGGATGAATCCTGAGGGGAAGCTTTGAGGGAGGATCAATCCTGAGGGAGGATCCTAGGAGGGGAATCTTCAAGGGGAGATCAATCCTGAGGGGGCTGAGGGAGGTTCTGATGAGGGGGGATCCTCTGAGGGAATCCTATGAGGGGGGATCCCATGAGGGGACCCATCCTGAGGGGGATTCTCTGTGGGGGGATCAATCCTGAGGGGTTGAGGGGGGAACCTGAGGGGATTCCATGAGTGGGGATCAATCCTGGGAAGGCTGAGGGGGAATCAGTCCTGAGGGGACTGAGGGGGGATTTTCTGAGGAGAACTTTTGAGAGGATCTTATGAGGGGGGATCTTCTGAGGGGAACCTTTGGGGCAATCTTATGAGAGGGGATAAATCCTGAGGAGCTGAGGGGGATCCTCTGAGGGGATTCTCTGAGGAGGGATAAATCCTGAGGGAGCTGAGGGGGAGATCGATCCTGAGGGGATCCCATGAGCGGGGATCCTATGAGGGCATCCATCCTGAGGGGGATCCTCTAAGGGGAACCTTTGAGGGAATCCTCTGAGGGAGGATGGTATGAGCAGATCCTCTGAGGGGATCAATGCTGAGGGGAACCTTTGAGGGGATCCTCTGAGGGAGAATCGATCCTTAGGGGCTGAGGAAGGTTCCTATGAGGGAATATCCTATGAGGGGGGATCGATCTTGACGGGGTTAAGGGGGGAACCTATGAGAGGGCATCAATCTTGAGGGGGCTGAGGGGGGATCCTATGAGGGGATCGATCCTGACGGGGCCGAGGGGGTCCCGCTCTTGTGAGCGGGAGGAGAACGCCAAGGCCCCGCGCTGAGGGCGCCGCCGGTGCCGAACAAAGGGCCCGTGACCCTAGCGGGCCGCCGTATCCACCCCTCACCCCCCCTCAGCCGCCCTTACCGGAGCCGGAGCCTTTCCCGGAGCCCTTCCCGAGGCTCATCCCGGCCCGATCCCGACGCGATTCCGAGCCCGGTGCCGGCAGGGGGAACAAAGGAGCCGCCGGAGCCGCCGCCGCCGCCTCAGGGAGCGCCGGGCCCGCGCCTGCGCGTCCCGCCCCACGCCGCCGCCCCGCCCACCGCTCGCGCTCAGCCAATGGCGCGGCGAGCCGGCGCCGGCGCGGCCAATGAGAGGCGAGCGGAGGGACGCGCGCGCGGCTCCTAGGGCTCCGCCCACAGAAGGAACAGCCAATGGGAACGCGGCGCGCTGCCCCCCCACAGTAAAGGCAAGGAGGGTGGAAGGGCAGGCCACGCCCACACGCTGTGCGGCAGCCAATAGGAGGCGAGCAGGGCCGATTCCCCCCCGTCCCCAGCCTGACTGAGCTGTCAGTCACTCATCCAGCCAGCCAATCAGCGCGGCGTCCTCCCTCCGCGGCCAACGAGGAGGCGGGGACTGGAGCGGGGAGAGGCAGGGCTTGAACGCCGCGCATGCGCAGAGCGCGCGGCACTGCGGCGGGGGGGAGGGGCGGGAGAGAAGCAGGGCTCCGGTGGGGGAGGGGCGGAAAAGGGGGAGGGGATCCCCGGATTTTGGGGGGTCCCAGCGATTTGAAGGATTTTGGGGGTCCCAGTTCAGGGAGATCCCGAAATCTGGGGGGGTCCCAAAGATTTGGGGGATTTTGGGAGGGTCCCAGTCCAGGGGGATCCCAAAATTTGGGGGGTCCCAGGGATTTTGGAGGTTTTGGGGGTCCCAGGCCAGAGGGATCCCGAGATTTGGGGGGATCCCAGGGATTTTGGGGGTCCCAGTGCAGGGGAATCCCGAAATTTGGGGTCTCCAGAGATTTTGGGGGCTCCCAGGGATTTGGGGGATTTTGGGGGGTCCCAGTGCAGGGAGATCTCAAAATTTGGGGTTCCCAAGGATTTTGGGGGGGGTCCCAGGGATTTGGGGGTCTCGATCCAGGGTGATCCTATAACTTTGGGGGTCCCAATCCAGAGGGATCCCAGAATTTGGGGGGGTCTCAGTCCAGATGAATCCCAAGATTTTGGGGGTCCCAATCCAGGGCGGTCCCAGGGATTTTGGGGGTCCCAGTCCAGGGGGAACCCGAGATTTGGGGGGTCCCTGAAATTTGGGGTGTCCCAGGGATTTTGGGGGGGATTTGGTGGTCCCAGTCCAGGGGGATCCCCGAATTTGGGGGGTCTCAGGAATTTTGGGGGATTTTGGGGGTCCCAGTCCAGGAGGATCCCAAGATTTTGAGGGTCAAATCCAGGGAGGTCCCAGGGATTTCTGGGGTCCCAGTCCAGGGTGATCCCTGGATTTGTGGGGTCCCAGGAATTTTGGGGGATCCCATTCCAAGGCACCCAGCACCCCCCTCATCCCCTGGAAGATCCCCCCCATGTCCCAAACCTTGTCTTCGTTCCAATATCTTTATTTTTAAGCTCAGATTTAGAAAGGACAAAGAGAAATAAAAAGAAAATCCAGGGGAGCCAGGAGGACGAGGGACCTTCAGCCAGGTGGGCTCCAAACCTGGATCTCCAGGGTTCTGCACACCTGGGACCATCCAGAGCAGATCCTCCCGTGGTGGAGAAGACATCCAAGGATATCTGGTGTGGGTTAAGACCACCAAAAGATGGAAAAAATGAGATTTTTCTGGGTTAGAAGTTGACAAATTCAGGAGGATGTGGAGCCTTCAGCCAGGTGTCTTCTTAACCTGGATCACCTGGGTTCTGCCCACCTGGGCTCACAGGGGATTGATGGTGGAGAAGACCTCCAAGTGTTGCTGAAGACCACCAAAAGATGGAAAAAATGAGATTTTTCTGGGTTATAAGTTGATAAATCCAGGAGGATGAGGAGCCTTCAGCCAGGTGTCTTCTCAACCTGGATCAAGGGGGTTCTGCCCACTGGGGACCATCCAGAGCAGATCCTCCCATGGTGAAGAAGACGTTCAAGGCTATCTAGTGTTGCTGAAGACCACCAAAAGATGGAAAAAACGAGATTTTTCTGGGTTAGAAGTTTACAAATCCAGGAAGATGTGGAACCTTCAGCCAGGTGTCTTCTCAACCTGGATCAAGGGGGTTCTGCCCACCTGGGCTCACGGGGGATCAATCCATCATGGGAGATGGATTGATGGTGGAGAAGACCTCCAAGTGTTGCTGAAGACCACCAAAAGATGGAAAAAATGAGATTTTTCTGGGTTAGAAGTTTACAAATCCAGGAGGATGTAGAACCTTCACCCAGGTGTCTTCTCAACCTGGATCAAGAGGGTTCCTCCCACCTGGGCTCACTGGGGACCATCCAGAGCAGATCCTTCCATGGTGGACAGATTGATGGTGGAGAAGACATCCATATCTTCTTAAAACCACCAAAAGATGGAAAAAATGAGATTTTTCTCCTTCAGAAGTTGACCAATTGAGGAGGATGAGGAACCTTCCCCCAGGTGTCCTCCAAACCTGCGTTCCGCCCACCGGGGACCACCCAGGTCGGCTTCTCCTGCGGGCCACGGACCTGGAGCAGCTCGCGAAGCTCCTCCCGCGCCCTGCACCGATGCTTGACCAAATTGCAGCTCTGCGAGAAGCTCCTCCCGCACCGGGGACACTCGTAGGGCCGCTCCCCGGTGTGACACCTCCGGTGGGCCACCAGCCCCGAGCTCTGCGAGAAGCTCTTCCCGCACTCCCCGCACTCGTAGGGCCGCTCCCCGGTGTGGCTCCTGTGGTGGACAACCAGGCTGAAGCTGGCGCTGAAGCTCTTCCCGCACTGCCAGCACACGTAGGGACGTTCTCCGGTGTGGGTCCTCCTGTGCTTGACCAGCGTGGAGTTGTGCTTGAATCCCACCCCGCAGTCGGGACAGCGGAAGGGCCTCTCGTCCGTGTGGACGCGCTGGTGGAGGAGGAGATCGGACGCGGTGTGGAAGCTCTTCCAGCACCGGTCGCACTCGTAGGGCCTCTCGCCGGTGTGGATGCGCTGGTGGACCACCAGGGCTGAGCTGCTCTTGAAGCTCTTCCCGCAGTCGGGGCAGCGAAACGGCCGCTCCTCGGCGTGGCTGCGCCGGTGCTTGAGGAGCGTGGCGGTGGTGTAGAACCTCTGGTGGCATTGGTCGCACTCGTAGGGCCTCTCCTCAACGCGGTCGCTCTGGTGGATGACCAGGCTGGAGATCTCCTCACACTCGTAGGGTCTCTCCTCAACGTGGTCGCTCTGGTGGATGACCAGGTTGGAGGTCTCACTGAAGTTCTCCTCACACTCCTCAGTGTGGTTCCTCTGGTGGACAATCAGGCTGGAGCTCCCACTGAAGTTCTCACACTCGTAGGATCTCTTCTCAACATGGTGGACAACCAGGCTGGAGCTCTCACTGAAGTTCTCCTCAACGTGGTCCTTCTGGTGGACAACCAGGCTGGAGCTCTTGCTGAAGTTCTCACACCTCTCCTCAGCGTGGTCCTTCTGGTGGACGATCAGCCTGGAGCTCCCACTGAAGTTCCTCTCACACTCATAGGGTCTCTCCTCAGCGTGGTCCCTCTGGCGGATGATCAGGCTGGAGCTCTCTCTGAAGTTCTCACACTCGTAGGGTCTCTCCTCAACGTGGTCGCTCTGGTGGATGATCAGGCTGGAGCTCCCACTGAAGTTCTCCTCGGCGTGGTCCTTCTGGTGGACAACCAGGCTGGAGCTCTTGCTGAAGTTCTCACACCTCTCCTCAGCGTGGTCCTTCTGGTGGACAATCAGCCTGGAGCTCTCATTGAAGTTCTTACACTCGTAGGGTCTCTCCTCGATGTCGTCCCTCTGGTGGATGACCAGCCTGGAGCTCCCACTGAAGTTCTCCTCACACTCATAGGGTCTCTCCTCAGCCCTCTGGTGGACGACCAGGCTGGAGCTCCCACGGAAGTTCTCCTCACGCTTCTCACGGTGGATGAACCGGGGTTTCACCAGCTTGGAGTTGTCACTGAAGCTCTGCCCACCCTCCAGAAGGCGGAACGGCTTCTCCTCCACGTGTGAGCGCTGGTGCACCACGAGCTCCCCGACGCTCTTGAACCTCCGATTGCACTGCTCGCACTCGTAGGGCCTGTCCCCAGCGTGGCTCCTCTGGTGGACAATCAGATTGGAGCTGTTGGTGAAGCCCTTCCCGCACTGAGGACACTCGTAGGGACGTTCCCCGGTGTGGCTCCTGTGGTGGACGATCAGCTGCGAGCTCCTGCTGAAGCTCTTCCCGCACACCCCGCACTCGTAGGGCCTCTCCCCGCTGTGCGTCCTCTGGTGGACCACCAGGTAGGAGCTGGTGCTGAAGCTCTTCCCGCACTGCCCGCACGCGTAGGGACGCTCCCCGGTGTGGACCCTCCGGTGGGTGGTGAGCGTGGAGTTCTCCCTGAACCCCTTCCCGCAGTCGGGACAGCGGAACGGCCGCTCCTCGGTGTGGATCTTCTGGTGACCACGGAGCGTGGAGCTGCTCTGGAACCTCTTCTTGCACACATCGCACTCGTAGGGCCTCTCCCCGGTGTGGTTCCTCTGGTGGACGATCAGGTGGGAGCTGGTGCTGAAGCTCTTCCCGCACAGCCCGCACTCGTAGGACCTCTCGCCGTTGTGCATCTTCTGGTGGACGATCAGGTAGGACCTGGTGTTGAAGCTCTTCCCGCACACCCCGCACACGTAGGGGCGTTCCCCCGTGTGGATCCTGCGGTGGCGCACCAGGGATGATCTCCACTTGAAGCTCTTCCCACACTCGGAGCACCTGTGGGGCTTCTCCTGCCCACCCTGGAGCTGCTCATGGAGCCCCAGCTCTGAGCTCTGACCCTGGTCCAAGTTGGGATGTTCAACCTCTGATCCCTCCTGTTGTTCCATGTGGATCTTCTGGTGGGCAACCAGGTGGGAACTCACCTTGAAGCTCCTCCCACACTCGGAGCACTTGTGGGGCTTCTTCTCCTCATCCTGGAGCTGCTCATGGAGCCCCAGCTCGGATCTCTGAGCCCCTCCATGGCCCAGGCTGGCTCTTGCCCCCTCGGATCCCCGCGCTCTGCCTTTGCAGCCCCTCCTGCTCAGGGATCTCCGCGGCTTCTCCTCCCCGTTGGCTTCTCCCTGCCGAGCCGTGGAGCCGCTCCAAACGGCCTCTGCCACCAGCTCCTCGCTGCTCTCCATGCTCAGCTCCTGCTCGGGGGGAGCAAGGACAAGGACACGATGGGATTTGCCCCCGTGGGGACAAGGACACGATGGGATTTGCCCCCGTGGGGACAAGGACACGATGGGATTTGCCCCCGTGGGGACAAGGACACGATGGGATCTGCCCGCATGGGGACAAGGACACGATGGGATTTGCCCCACAAGGACACAACGGAATTTGGGATTTGCCCCACAGGGACAAGTTCAGGACAGGATTTGCCCCACAATTCAGGATGGGATTTGCCCCACAAGGACACGATGGGATTTGCCCCACAGTTCAAGTTCAGGACGGGATTTGGGATTTGGGATTTGCCCCACAATTCAGGACAGCATTTGGGATTTGCCCCACAAGGACACGATGCGATTTGCCCCACAATTCAGGACGGCATTTGGGATTTGCCCCCATCCCAACATGGGATTTGCCCCAAAATTCAGGGTGGGATTTGTGATTTGCCCCACAAGGACACGATAGGATTTGCCCCACAATTCAGGACAGCATTTGGGATTTGCCCCCATCCCAGGACAGGATTTGCCCCCACCCCCCTTTTTCCCCCCCCAGGCCGGGCTGGCAGCTGCCCCAGCACACAGAGGGTTAAAAGGGGCCCTGCCTTCCTCGAGATTTCCTGAAAAATCTCTTTTTTTAGGGTTTTTTCCCCTCTCCTGAGCAGCTGAGGAGCCTCTGGGGAAAAGATAAACAAGAATTATCTGCGGCTGTGGAATGCAACAGCCGCGGCCGGGATTGGGCCGCACTGGGTGTTTTTAATTTATATTTAATTTGTTTTTAAATCATGGCCAATCACGGGGAGCAGGCTCGGATTCTCTCAGGGTCAGCAGCTTTTGTTATCATTCCTTTCAGGGTTTTTTCCTTTTGAGCCTTCTACAGAAATCTTTTCTTCTATTTTTAGAATGGTATTAATGTATAATTTTCTTCTAAAATAATATTTATCTTTAAATATACAATTTTAATTATCAGCTATATTATATATATACAGTTTTAATATATTATTTTCTTTAAATACAATATATGTCTTAAAAATATAATTTAAATAATTATATTAATATAAATAGTTTTAATATATATTTCTCTTTAAATATAATACAATATAAAAAGATAATAAATACATTTTAATTAATATATTAATATATATAATTTAATTCTATGATTTTCTTTGAATATAATATATATCATAAAGTAACAAATATATTTTTAAGTAAGATATATTGTTTTAATGTATAATTTTCTCTTATTATAATATATAATAAAAAAATAAATATAATTTTAATTAAGAGCTATATTAATATCTACCATTTTAATAAATAATTATCTTTAAATATATATCATAAAATAACAACTATAATTCCAATTAATATATATAGTCTTAATATTTATTTTATTTAATATAATATATATCATAAAAATATATTTTAATTAATATATATTATAATATATGGAGTTTTAATACATAATTTTCTTTTAATACAATACCTATCATAAAATATCGTAATATACATCATAAAATAATAAATAATAACTAATACAAAAAATAAATCAGCGCTCCCAGTTCCCTCCCCGTGCTCCCAGTTCCCTCCCAGCGCTCCCAGTTCCCTCTCAGCGCTCCCAGTACCGCTCTCAGCGCTCCCAGTACCGCTCCCAGCGCTCCCAGTAAGACCGAGCTCCCCCATCCGCGCTCACCTGCGAGCTCCGGGGGTGATGCGGCCGCTCTTCCTCCCGGTCCTCCTCTTCCTCTGTCCCTCCTCTTCCTCCTCCTTGTCCCCCGTGTCCCTCCTCCTCCTCTTCCTCCTCTTCTCGCCTCCTGCTCCTCCTTTCCTTCCTCCTCAGTCCCTCCTCTTCCTCCTCCTGCTCCTCCTTCTCTCCCTACTCTCTGCACTGGGAGCGATACTGGGAGCGCTGGGAGGGAACTGGGAGCGCTGGGAGGGAACTGGGAGCGCTTTCCCTGCCGGTGCCGCTCTTACTGGGAGCGCTGGGAGGGAACAGCGCCGGGCGGCGGGCGGGGCCGGCCTGAATGGGCGTGGTTATGCAAATCCAGGAGCGATCGCACGCTGCGATTGGTGGGTGGGAGGAGCGCTGGGTTTGCTCGGTGACGTCATGGCTGGGTTTGGGGGGAGCGGAGCGTTCAGTGAGAGGGGAGCGGGAGTGGGAACGGGGACAAGGAATGGGAAATGGAACCGGGAATGCAGAAAGGGAATGGGAATGGGGAGCGGGAATGGGAATGGGGACAGGGAATGGGGACGGGGAGCGGGAATGGGGACCGGGAATGGGGACAGGGAATGGGGACAGGGAATGGGGAGAGGGAATGGCAATGGGGACAGGGAATGGGGACAGGGAATGGGAATGGGGCCCAGGAATGGGGACAGGGAATGGCAATGGAAACGGGAATGGGGACAGGAAATGGCAATGGAACCCGGAACGGAGACAGGAAATGGGAGTGGGGACCGGGAATGGGGACAGCGAATGGGGACCGAGAATGGGGACAGGGAATGGGAACCATGGGGTGCCCAAAGTCCTGAGGAAGCCCCAAATCTGTCCCAGGAACCCTCAACTCCCTCTGGCCCAGCATCCCCCTCATCCCCTGGAAGATCCTCCCATGTCCCAAACCTTGTCTTCGCTTAATATCTTTATTTTTAAGCTCAGATTTAGAAAGGACAAAGAGAAATAAAGAAAAAATCCAGGCCACGGGGAGCCAGGAGGATGTGGAGCCCCTAAGCCAGGTGTGCTCCAAACAGGGATCACCTGGGCTCTGCCCACCTGGGATCACCCAGAGCTCTGAGACCACCAGAGCTGGAGCAGATCACAAAGTTCTTCCCACCCAGGGTGGACTCTAATGCTGGGTGCGTTGGTGCTGGGTCAAGTTGAAACTCCGGGAGAAGCTTTTCCCACAGTGGGGACACTTGTAGGGCCTCTCCCCGGTGTGGATGCGCTGGTGCTTGCGGAGATCGCCGCTGCTCGCAAAACTCTTCTGGCACTGATCACACTCGTAGGGCCTCTCCCCAGTGTGGCTCCTCAGGTGGGCAGTCAGGTGGGAGCTCTCTGTGAACCCCTTCCCACACTGGGGACACTCGTGGGGTCTCTCCCCGGTGTGGATGCGCCGGTGGACGATGAGGTGGGAGTTGTGCCTGAAGCTCTGCCCGCAGTCAGGGCAGTGGAACGGCCTCTCCTCGGTGTGAATGAGCTGGTGACTGAGGAGATGGGAGCTGCTCCGGCACCTCTTCCCACACTGATCACACTCGTAGGGCCTCTCCCCGGTGTGGATCATCCGGTGCCTGTTGAGGGTGGAGACGCGGTTGAAGCGCTTCCCGCAGTCGGGACACTGGAAGGGCCTCTCGTCCGTGTGTGAGCGCTGGTGCACCACGAGATCACCGCTGCTCAGAAACCTCTTCTGGCACTGATCACACTGGTAGGGTCGTTCCCCCATGTGGCTCCTCTGGTGGTAAATCAGGTTGGACTTGGACACGAAGCTCTTCCCGCACTCCCCACACTCGTAGGGTCGTTCCCCCGTGTGTATCTTCAGGTGATCAGTCAGGCAGAATCTCCTCCTGAAGCTCTTCCCACACTCCGAGCACCTGTGGAGCTTCTCCTGCCCGCCCTGGAGCTGCTCATGGAGCCCCAGCTCGGATCTCTGAGCCCCTCCATGGCCCACGCTGGCTCTTGCCCCCTCGGATCCCCGCGCTCTGCCTTTGCAGCCCCTCCTGCTCAGGGATCTCCGCGCCTTCTCCTCCCCGTTGGCTTCTCCCTGCCGAGCCGTGGAGCCGCTCCAAACGGCCTCTGCCACCAGCTCCTCGCTGCTCTCCATGCTCAGCTCCTGCTCGGGGGGAGCAAGGACAAGGACACGATGGGATTTGCCCCCGTGGGCACAAGGACACGATGGGATTTGCCCCCATGGGGACAAGGACACGATGGGATTTGCCCCCGTGGGCACAAGGACACGATGGGATTTGCCCCCATGGGGACAAGGACACGATGGGATTTGCCCCCGTGGGCACAAGGATACGATGGGATTTGCCCCCATGGGGACAAGGACACGATGGGATTTGCCCCCGTGGGGACAAGGACACGATGGGATTTGCCCCCATGGGGACAAGGACACGATGGGATTTGCCTCCCCTGCCCCACAAAAACCCTCCCGGAGACCCCCGCGATGGGGTCGGACCGAGCTTCCCCTCTCCGCTCACCTGCGGGCTCCGGGGGGCGATGCCGGCGGGGCCGGGGCAGCTGCGGCCCGAGCGCGGGAACCGAGTGGTGTTGGGACGCCTCTTCTTCCCGGTGTTCCCGTTACGTTGTCCCTCCTCTTCCTTTGTCCCTCCTCTTCCTCCTCCTCCTTCTTTCCCCTCCTCCTCTTCCTCCCGCTCCTCCTCCGCTCCGAGTCCCGCCCGGGCAGCGCCGGCACCAAAATACAGGCGGGGTGGAGGGCGTGGTTATGCAAATCCCGGAGCGATCGCGCGCCGGGATTGGTGGGAGGGAGGAGGGCGGGGTTTCCTCGGTGATGCCATGGCGTGGGGGGGGCAGCTGGAGCGTCCGGAGAGAGCGGAGCGGGAATGGGGACCGGGAATGGGGACCGGGAATGGGGACCGGGAATGGGAACAGGGAATGGGGACCGGGAATGGGGACCGGAACAAGGAATGGAGACTGGGAAGGGGAATGGAACCAGGAATGCGGACAACGACCGGGAATGGGGACGGGGAATGGGTACTCGGAATGCGGACAAGGAATGTGAACAGGAAATGGAGACCAGTATAGGGGACAGCAACTGAGAATGGGGACAAGGAATGGAGGCAGGGAATGGGGACCCAGACTGGGGAGAAGGAACGGGAATGGGAATAGGGACAGGGAATGGGGACCGTGGGGTGCCCGAAATCCTAAGGAAGCCCAAAATCTGTCCCAGGAACCCTCAACTCCCTCAGGCCCAGCATCCCCCTGACACCCTGGAAGATCCTCCCATGGCCACATCCTCGTCTTGGTTCAACGTCTTTATTATCAACCTCGGACTTAGAAAAGTGTATAAAAATGACAAAGAGATATAAAAAGAAAATCCAGGCTATGAGGAGCCAGGTGGATGTGGAGTCCCCAGCCAGGTGTTCTTCAAGCATGGGTCAAGGGGGCTCTGCGCACCTGGGCTTACTGGGGACCATCCAGAGCAGATCCTCCCGTGTGAGATGGAGCTGGAGAAGGCCAAAGAACTCTTCCCACCAAGGGCTGCCCTCAGTGCTGGCTCTTCTGGTGTCTGGTCATGCTGCCGCTTGTGGTGAAGCCCTTCCCACACTGGGGACACTGGTAGGGTCTCTCTCCAGTGTGGATGCGCCGGTGGGTGATGAGGGCACGGTTCCGCTTGAATCCCACCCCACAATCAGGACAGCGGAAGGGCTTCTCATCCGTGTGGATGCGCTGGTGCAGGAGGAGATCAGACGTCGCCCGAAACCTCTTCTTGCACTGATCACACTCGTAGGGCCTCTCCCCGGTGTGGCTCCTGAGGTGGGCAGTCAGGTGGGAGCTCTGCCTGAAGCTTTTCCCACACTGGGGACACTCGTGGGGTCTCTCCCCGGTGTGGATGCGCCGGTGGACGATGAGGCCAGAATTGTGTCTGAATCCCTTCCCGCAGTCACGGCACCAGAACGGCTTCTCCTCGGTGTGGATGCGCTGGTGACTGAGGAGATCAGAGCTCCTCAGGAACCTCTTTTCACACTGATCACACTCGTAGGGTCGTTCCCCAGTGTGGCTCCGCAGGTGGGCAGTCAGGCTGGAGCTCTGGATGAAACCCTTCCCACACTGCGGACACTCGTAGGGCCGCTCCCCAGTGTGGATGCGCCGGTGGACGATGAGGGCAGACTTGTGCCTGAATCCCTTCCCGCACTCACGGCAGCGGAACGGCCTCTCCTCGGTGTGGATGAGCTGGTGGCTGAGGAGCTCGGAGCTGGTCAGGAACCTCTTCTGGCACTGACCACACTCGTAGGGCCTCTCCCCGGTGTGGATGCGCCGGTGCTTGTGGATATCCCCGCGGCGCTTAAACCTCTTCTTGCACTGATCACACTCATATGGTCTCTCCCCACTGTGAATGCGCCGGTGGGTGGTGAGAGTGGAATTTTCCCTGAATCCCTTCCCACAATCAGGACAGCGGAACGGCCGCTCCTCAGTGTGAATCCGCTGGTGACGGAGCAGATGGGAGCTGCTCAAGAACCTCTTCTTGCACACATCACACTCGTAGGGTCGTTCCCCCGTGTGGATTCTGCAATGCTGCATCAGGCAGGATCTCCTCTTGAAGCTCTTCCCACACTCGGAGCACTTGTGGGGCTTCTCCTGCCCACCCTGGAGCTGCTCATGGAGCCCCAGCTCGGATCTCTGAGCCCCTCCATGGCCCACGCTGGCTCTTGACCCCTCGGATCCCCGCGCTCTGCCTTTGCAGCCCCTCCTGCTCAGGGATCTCCGCGCCTTCTCCTCCCCGTTGGCTTCTCCCTGCCGAGCCGTGGAGCCGCTCCAAACGGCCTCTGCCACCAGCTCCTCGCTGCTCTCCATGCTCAGCTCCTGCTCTGGGGGAGCAAGGACAAGGACACGATGGGATTTGCCCCCATGGGGACAAGGACACGATGGGATTTGCCCCCGTGGGGACAAGGACACGATGGGATTTGCCTCCCCTGCCCCACAAAAACCCTCCCGGAGACCCCCGCGATGGGGTCGGGCCGAGCTCCCCCTCTCCGCTCACCTGCGGGCTCCGGGCGGCGACGCCGGCGGGGCCGGGGCAGCTGCGGCCCGAGCGGGGGAACAGCGTGGTGTTCGGACGCCTCTTCTTCCCGCTCTTCCTTTTCCTTTGTCCCTCCTCTTCCTCCCCCTCCTTCTCCCCCTCCTCTTCCTCCCGCTCCTCCTCCGCTCCGAGTCCGGCCCGGGCAGCGCCGGTACCAAAATACAGGTGGGGTGAGGGCGTGGTTATGCAAATCCAGGGCCGATCGCGCCCCGGGATTGGTGGGACGGAGGAGCGCGGGATTAGCTCGGTGACGTCAAGGCGGGGACGGGGAGCTGGAGCGTCCGGAGAGAGGGTAGCCGGAATGGGGACCGGGAATGGGGACCGGGAATGGGAACAGGGAATGGGGACCGGGAATAGGAACCGGGACAAGGAATGGAGACTGAGAAGGGGAATGGAACCGGGAATGCAGACAACGAACGGGAATGGGGACGGGGAATGGGTACCCGGAATGCGGACAGGGAATGTGAACAGGAAATGGAGACCAGTATAGGGGACAGCAACTGAGAATGGGGACAGGGAATGGAGGCAGGGAATGGGGACCCAGACTGGGGAGAAGGAACGGGAATGGGAATAGGGACAGGGAATGGGGACCGTGGGGTGCCCGAAGTCCTAGGGAAGCCCAAAATCTGTCCCAGGAACCCTCAACTCCCTCAGGCCCAGCATCCCCCTGACACCCTGGAAGATCCTCCCATGGCCACATCCTCGTCTTGGTTCAACATCTTTATTATCAACCTCGGACTTAGAACAGTGTATAAAAATGACAAAGAGATATAAAAAGAAAATCCAGGCTATGAGGAGCCAGGTGGATGTGGAGTCCCCAGCCAGGTGTTCTTCAAGCAGGGGTCAAGGGGGCTCTGCACACCTGGGCTCACGGGGGACCATCCAGAGCAGATCCTCCTGTGTGAGATGGAGCTGGAAAAAGCCAAAGAACTCTTCCCACCCAGGGCTGCCCTCAGTGCTGGCTCTTCTGGTGTCTGGTCATGCTGCCGCTTGTGGTGAAGCCCTTCCCACACTGGGGACACTGGTAGGGTCTCTCCCCAGTGTGGATGCGCCGGTGGGAGATGAGGGCACGGTTCCGCTTGAATCCCACCCCACAATCAGGACAGCGGAAGGGCTTCCCATCCGTGTGGATGCGCTGGTGCAGGAGGAGATTGGATGGGGCTTGAAACGTCTTCTTGCACGGATCACACTCGTAGGGCCTCTCCCCGGTGTGGCTCCTCAGGTGGGCAGTCAGGTGGGAGCTCTGGATGAAGCTTTTCCCACACTGGGGACACTCGTGGGGTCTCTCCCCGGTGTGGATGCGCCGGTGGGTGATGAGGTGGGAGTTGCGCCTGAATCCCTTCCCACACTCACGGCAGTGGAACGGCCTCTCCCCGGTGTGAATGAGCTGGTGGCTGAGGAGCTCGGAGCTGCTCAGGAACCTCTTCTGGCACTGACCACACTCGTAGGGCCTCTCCCCGGTGTGGCTCCTGAGGTGGGCATTCAGGCTGGACCTGTCTCTGAAGCTCTTCCCACACTGGGGACACTCGTAGGGTCTCTCCCCGGTGTGGATGCGCCGGTGGATGATGAGGGTGGAGTTGTGTCTGAATCCCTTCCCGCAGTGAGGGCAGTGGAACGGCTTCTCCTCGGTGTGAATGAGCTGGTGACGGAGGAGCTGGGAGCTTCTCAGGAACCTCTTCTGGCACTGACCACACTCGTAGGGCCTCTCCCCGGTGTGCCTCTTCAGGTGGACAGTCAGGTCGCATCTCCACCGGAAGCTCTTCCCACACTCGGAGCACTTGTGGGGCTTCTCCTGCCCACCCTGGAGCTGCTCATGGAGCCCCAGCTCGGATCTCTGAGCCCCTCCATGGCCCAGGCTGGCTCTTTCCCCCTCGGATCCCCGCGCTCTGCCTTTGCAGCCCCTCCTGCTCAGGGATCTCCGCGGCTTCTCCTCCCCGTTGGCTTCTCCCTGCCGAGCCGTGGAGCCGCTCCAAACGGCCTCTGCCACCAGCTCCTCGCTGCTCTCCATGCTCAGCTCCTGCTCGGGGGGAGCAAGGACAAGGACACGGTGGGATTTGCACCCGTGGGGACAAGGACACGATGGGATTTGCCCCCGTGGGGACAAGGACACGATGCGATTTGCCTCCCCTGCCCCACAGAAAACCCTCCCGGAGACCCCCGCGATGGGGTCGGGCCGAGCTCCCCCTCTCCGCTCACCTGCGGCCTCCGGGGGGCGATGCCGGCGGGGCCGGGGCAGCTGCGGCCGGAGCGGGGTTGCGGCCGTTCCTCCTCTTCCTTTTCCTCCTGCTCCTTCTGTCACTCTTCCTCTTCCTCCTCCTCTTCCTTTGTCCCTCCTCTTCCTCCCCCTCCTTCTCCCCCTCCTCTTCCTCCCGCTCCTCCTCCGCTCCGAGTCCCGCCCGGGCAGCGCCGGCACCAAAATACAGGCGGGGTGAGGGCGTGGTTATGCAAATCCGGGAGCGAGCGCGCGCCGGGATTGGTGCGAGGGAGGAGCGCGGGGTTTGCTCGGTGACGTCATGGCGGGGGGGGCAGCTGGACCGTCCGGAGAGAGCGGAGCGGGAATGGGGACCGGGAATGCGAACAGGGACGGGAAATGGAGACTGGGAAGGGGAATGGAACCGGGAATGCGGACAGTGACCGGGAATGGGGAAGGGGAATGGGTACAGGAAATGCGGACAAGGAATGTGAACAGTAAATGGAGACCAGTATAGGCCACAGCAATTGAGAATGGAGACAGGTAATGCAGGCAGGGAATGGGGACCCAGAGTAGGGAGAAGGAGCAGGAATGGGAATGGGAATAGGGAATGGGGACCGTCGGGTTTCTAAAGTCCTAAGGAAGCCCCAAATCTGTCCCAGGAACCCTCAACTCCCTCTGGCCCAGCATCCCCCTCATCCACTGGAAGATCCCCCCATGTCCACATCCTTGTCTTGGTTCCATGTCTTTATTATTAACCTTGGATTTAAAAAGGAGTATAAAAATAACAAAGAGGAAAAAAAGGAAATCCAGGCCACGAGGAGCCAGGAGGATGTGGAGCCCCCAGCCAGGTGTGCTGCAAGCAGGAGTCAAGGGGGCTCTGCCCACCTGGGCTCACTGGGCACCATCCAGAGCAGATCCTCCTGTGTGAGATGGAGCTGGAGAAGGGCACAGAGCTCTGCCCACCCAGGGCTGCCCTCAGTGCTGGCTCTGTAGGTGTCTGGTCATGCTGCTGCTTGTGGTGAAGCCCTTCCCACACTGGAGACACTCGTGGGGTCTCTCCCCAATGTGGATGCGCCGGTGGGTGATGAGGGCACGGTTCCGCTTGAATCCCACCCCACAATCAGGACAGCAGAAGGGCTTCTCATCCGTGTGGATGCGCTGGTGCAGGAGGAGATCGGACGTCGACCGAAACCTCTTCTTGCACTGATCACACTCATAGGGCCTCTCCCCGGTGTGGCTCCTCAGGTGGGCAGTCAGGTGGGAGCTCTGGATGAAGCTTTTCCCACACTGGGGACACTCGTGGGGCCTCTCCCCGGTGTGGATGCGCCGGTGGGTGATGAGGTGGGACTTGTGTCTGAATCCCTTCCTGCACTCATGGCAGTGGAACGGCCTCTCCCCGGTGTGAATGAGCTGGTGACTGAGGAGATGGGAGCTGCTCAGGAACCTCTTCTGGCACTGACCACACTCGTAGAGTCGTTCCCCAGTGTGGCTCCTCAGGTGGACAATCAGGTTGGAGCTCTGCCTGAAGCTTTTCCCACACTGGGGACACTCGTGGGGTCTCTCCGCCGTGTGGATGCGCTGGTGCTTGCGAAGTTCACCGCTGCGCTTAAACCTCTTCTTGCACTGATCACACTCATATGGTCTCTCCCCAGTGTGAATGCGCCGGTGGGTGCGGAGAGTGGAATTTTCCCTGAATCCCTTCCCACAATCAGGACAGCGGAACGGCCGCTCCTCGGTGTGAATCCGCTGGTGACGGAGCAGATGGGAGCTGCTCAGGAACCTCTTCTTGCACACATCACACTCGTAGGGTCGCTCCCCCGTGTGGATTCTGCAATGCTGCATCAGCCAGGATCTCCACCTGAAGCTCTTCCCACACTCGGAGCACTTGTGGGGCTTCTCCTGCCCATCCTGGAGCTGCTCATGGACCCCCAGCTCTGAGCTCTGACCCTGGTCCAGGGTGGGTTTTTCCCCCTCAGATCCCGTGTGGATTCTCTGGTGCACAATCAGGCAGGATCTCCTCCTGAAGCTCTTCCCACACTCCGAGCACCTGTGGGGCTTCTCCTCCCCACCCTGGAGCTGCTCATGGAGCCCCAGCTCGGATCTCTGAGCCCCTCCATGGCCCAGGCTGGCTCTTTCCCCCTCGGATCCCCGCGCTCTGCCTTTGCAGCCCCTCCTGCTCAGGGATCTCCGCGCCTTCTCCTCCCCGTTGGCTTCTCCCTGCCGAGCCGTGGAGCCGCTCCAAACGGCCTCTGCCACCAGCTCCTCGCTGCTCTCCATGCTCAGCTCCTGCTCGGGGGGAGCAAGGACAAGGACACGATGGGATTTGCCCCCATGGGGACAAGGACACGATGGGATTTGCCCCCATGGGGACAAGGACACGATGGGATTTGCCTCCCCTGCCCCACAAAAACCCTCCCGGAGACCCCCGCGATGGGGTCGGGCTGAGCTCCCCCTCTCCGCTCACCTGCGGCCTCCGGGCGGCGATGCCGGCGGGGCCGGGGCAGCTGCGGCCGGAGCGGGGAAACCGCGTGGTGTTGCGGCGCCTCTTCCTCCCGGCGTTCCTGTTCCGTTGTCCCTCCTCTTCCTCCCGCTCCTCCTCCGTTCCGAGTCCGGCCCGGGCAGCGCCGGCACCCAAAAGCATCCTGAGGGAGAGGGCGTGGTTATGCAAATCTTAGAGCGATCGCGCGTTTGGATTGGTGGGAGGGAGGAGCCCGGGCTTTGCTCGGTGACGTCATGGCGGGGACCAGGAATGGGAATGGGGACCAGGAAAGGAAAAGGGACCCTGCTGTGTTCTCAGGGCTCGCAAGATGTGGGAAGAGATGAAAATTTTGACTCCATTTTTTAATTTTTCAGAAAGCTGAATATGTATTTTTTATTATTCATATCTAATATTAAAAGAAAGTGCTATATTAAATATATACTAAAATATTAGTAAAAAAGAAAATCAATAGAAAGCTAGAAAATAATAGAAAAGAATGATAATAAAATCTTGTGAGTGACCAGAGAGTCTGAGACAGCTCAGCTTTGATTGGGCACCCGAGACCAATCAAAGACGAAATTGCTGCATTCCACAGCAGCAGATAAGTTGTGTTTATATGTTAATTTCTGAGGCCTCTCATCTTCTCAGGAGAAAAAGATCCCAAGGAAAAGTTTTTTTAATAAAATGTGCCAGTGACAGGAGCGTGAATACTGGACTGCGAATACAGGAGAGGGGCTGGGATTGGGAGCAGGAATCAGAAAATGGGAATGGGAGAGGAAATAGAGAAATGCGAATTAGGGACTGGAATAGGAAAAGGAGAACAAAACAGTAAATAGAGAACTGGGAATTAGGGACTGGAATAGGAAAATGGGAACAGGACAGGGAATACGAGAATGGCAACTGGACAGAGATTATGGGACAGGGCCAAGTATTGAGACAGGAATGGGATCTGGACTCCGATGAGAGCAGGATCCTGGACAGGGGACAGCAGGAACCAGGACGGGAGGACGTGGGGACACTGCCAGGGCAGGAGGTCCTTGATCTGCTGCCCCAGATGGAGCTGCTGGGCCTGGGGTGCCCAAAGCCCTGAGGAACCCCCAAATCTGTCCCAGGAACCCTCAGCTCCATGGACCCAGCATCCCCCTCATGCCCATCCTTGGTTCAGTTCAACGTCCTTAATACTGCGACCTGGGCTCACTGGGGACCATCCAGAGCAGGTCCTCCCATGGTGGAGAAGACATCCAAACCTATCTAGTGTCGCTGAAGGCCACCACAGCTTGTAAAAATGACGGAAAAAATGACAGAAAAAAATTTTCTGATATCAGAAGATTGACAAATCTGCTCTCCGTAATGGATTTCTGATCTTGGACTGTGGATGAATTCAGGTGACCACGGGGAGCCCGGAGGATGTGGAGCCCCCAGCCAGGTGTCTTCCCAACAGGGATCAAGGGGGCTCTGCCCAGCTGGGCTCACTGGGGACCATCCAGAGCAGATCCTCCCGTGGGGATTCATGTTGGAGAAGACATCCAAGGCAATTTAGTGTTGCTTCAAGCACCACAAGAGCAAAAATCAAAAATGTTCGGGGTCAGAAGTAGACAAATCTGCTCTCCACAAGAGAGACCCAGGGGGAGCCAGGAGGATGTGGAGCCCCCAGCCAGGTGTGCTCCAAACATGGATCAAGGGGGTTCTGCCCACCTGGGCTCACTGGGCACCATCCAGAGCAGATCCTCCCATGTGAGATGGAGCTGCAGCAGCGCACGGAGCTCTGCCAGCCGAGAGCTGCCCGCAGTGCTGGCTCTGTAGGTGTCTGGTCAAGGCAGAGGTTTTACAGAAACTCTTCCCACATTGGGGACACTTGTGGGGTCTCTCTCCAGTGTGCATGTGGCGGTGGGTGATGAGGGTAGAGTTGCACTTGAAGCCCTTCTTGCAGTCGTGGCATTGGAAGGGCCTCTCGTCCGTGTGTGAGCGCTGGTGCTTGTGGAGGTCGGACGTGCTGTAAAATCTCTTTTTGCATTGCTTACACCCGTAGGGCCTCTCCCCGGTGTGAATGAGCCAGTGCCTGAGGAGATCAGGGCTCCTCAGGAACCTCTTCTTGCACTGATCACACTCATAGCACCTCTCCCCTGTGTGGCTCCTCAGGTGCACAGTCAGGCTGGAGCTGTCTCTGAAGCTCTTCCCACACTGGGGACACTCGTGGGGTCTCTCCCCGGTGTGGATTCGACGGTGGACGACGAGGGCAGAGTTGGCCTTGAAGGCCTTCCCACAATCAGGACAGCGGAACGGCCTCTCCTCGGTGTGGCTGCGCTGGTGACGGAGGAGATGGGAGCTGCGTTGAAAGCTCTTCTCGCACTGATCACACTCGTAGGGCCTCTCCCCGGTGTGGCTCCTCAGGTGGGCATTCAGGTTGGACCTGTCTCTGAAGCTCTTCCCACACTGGGGACACTGATAGGGTCTCTCTCCGGTGTGGATGCGCCGGTGGGTGATGAGGTTGGAATTGCACCTGAATCCCTTCCCACAGTCACGGCAGTAGAACGGCGTCTCCTCAGTGTGGATGAGCTGGTGGCTGAGGAGCTGGGTGCTGGTGACGAACCTCTTCTGGCATTGATCACACTTGTAGTGCGTCTCCCCCGTGTGTCTCCTCAGATGCACAGTCAGGTCGCATCTCCACCTGAAGCACTTCCCACACTCGGAGCACTTGTGGGGCTTCTCCTGCCCACCCTGGAGCTGCTCATGGAGCCCCAGCTCGGATCTCTGAGCCCCTCCATGGCCCACGCTGGCTCTTGCCCCCTCGGATCCCCGCGCTCTGCCTTTGCAGCCCCTCCTGCTCAGGGATCTCCGCGCCTTCTCCTCCCCGTTGGCTTCTCCCTGCCGAGCCGTGGAGCCGCTCCAAACGGCCTCTGCCACCAGCTCCTCGCTGCTCTCCATGCTCAGCTCCTGCTCGGGGGGAGCAAGGACAAGGACACGATGCGATTTGCCCCCGTGGGGACAAGGACACGATGGGATTTGCCCCCATGGGGACAAGGACACGATGGGATTTGCCCCCGTGGGGACAAGGACACGATGGGATTTGCCTCTCCTGCCCCACAAAAACCCTCCCGGACACCCCCGCGATGGGGTCGGGCCGAGCTCCCCCTCTCCGCTCACCTGCGGCCTCCGGGGGGCGATGCCGGCGGGGCCGGGGCAGCTGCGGCCCGAGCGCGGGAACCCAGTGGTGTTCGGACGCCTCTTCTTCCCGCTGTTCCTGTTCCGTTGTCCCTCCTCTTCCTTTGTCCCTCCTCTTCCTCCTCCTCCTTCTCCCCCTCCTCTTCCTCCCGCTCCTCCTCCGCTCCGAGTCCCGCCCGGGCAGCGCCGGCACCAAAATACAGGCGGGAGTGAGGGCGTGGTTATGCAAATCAGGGAGCGATCGCGCGCTGGGATTGGTGGGGGCGAGGAGCGCGGGTTTTACTCGGTGACGTCATGGCGGGGGGGGGGGAGCTGGAGCGTCCGGAGAGAGCGGAGCGGGAATGGGGACCGGGAATGGGGACCGGGAATGGGAATGGAGACCGGGAATGGGGACAGGGAGTGGGATTTCGGACAGGGAATGGGGACCGGGAATGGGAACAGGGAATGCGGACCAGTATTGGGGAGAGGAACAGGGAATGGGGACCATGGGGTGCCTAAAGCCCTAAGGAAGCCCAAAATCTGTCCCAGGAACCCTCAACTCCCTCAGGCCCAGCATCCCCCTGATCCCCTGGAGGATCCTACCATGTCCACATCCTCGTCTTGGTTTTCCACATCATTTTTATTAACCTCGGATTTAGAAAAGTATATAGAAATGACAAAGAGGTATAAAAAGAAAATTAAGGCTATGAGGAGCCAGGAGGATGTGGAGTCCCGAGCCAGGTGTTCTTCAAGCAGGATTAAAGGGGGCTCTGCCCACCTGGGCTCACTGCGGACCATCCAGAGCAGATCCTCCCGTGTGAGATGGAGCTGGAGAAGGCCACGGAGCTCTGCCCACCCAGGGCTGCCCTCAGTGCTGGCTCTGTAGGTGTCTGGTCATGCTGCCGCTTGTGGTGAAGCTCTTCCCACACTGGGGACAAGTGTGGGGTCTCTCCCCGGTGTGGATCGTCCTGTGCTTGATGAGGGTTGAGTTCTCCTTGAATCCCACCCCACAATCGGGACAGCGGAAGGGCCTCCCGTCCGTGTGGATGCGCTGGTGCTTGAGGAGATCAGACGAGGTGTAAAAGCCCTTCTGGCACTGATCACACTCGTAGGGCCTCTCCCCTGTGTGGCTCCTCAGGTGGGCAGTCAGGCTGGAGCTTGTGGTGAAGCTCTTCCCACACTGGGGACACTCATAGGGCCTCTCCCCAGTGTGGATGCGCCGGTGGGTGACGAGGTGGGAGTTGTGTCTGAATCCCTTCCCACACTCACGGCAGCGGAACGGCCTCTCCTCGGTGTGACTGCGCTGGTGGCTGAGGAGATCAGAGCTCTTCAGGAACCTCTTCTGGCACTGACCACACTCGTAGGGTCGTTCCCCAGCATGGCTCCTCAGGTGCACAGTCAGGTGGGAGCTGTCTCTGAATCCCTTCCCACACTGGGCACACTCGTGTGGCCTCTCCCCGGTGTGGATGCGCCGGTGGACGATGAGGGCAGAGTTGTGTCTGAAGCTCTGCCCGCACTCACGGCAGTGGAAGGGCCTCTCCCCGGTGTGAACGAGCTGGTGACTGAGGAGCTCGGAGCTGGTCAGGAACCTCTTCTGGCACTGACCACACTCGTAGGGCCTCTCCCCGGCGTGGATGCGCCGGTGCTTGTGGAGATCCCCGCTGCGCTTAAACCTCTTCTTGCACTGATCACACTCATATGGTCTCTCCATGGTGTGAATGCGCCGGTGGATGGTGAGAGTGGAATTTTCCCTGAATCCCTTCCCACAATCAGGACAGCGGAACGGCCGCTCCTCGCTGTGAATGAGCTGGTGACGGAGCAGATGGGAGCTGCGCAAGAACCTCTTCTTGCACACATCACACTTGTAGGGTCGTTCCCCCGTGTGGATTCTGCAATGCTGCATCAGCAAGGATCTCAACCTGAAACTCTTCCCACACTCCGAGCACCTGTGGGGCTTCTCCTGCCCGCCCTGGAGCTGCTCATGGAGCCCCAGCTCGGATCTCTGAGCCCCTCCATGGCCCACGCTGGCTCTTTCCCCCTCGGATCCCCGCGCTCTGCCTTTGCAGCCCCTCCTCCTCAGGGATCTCCGCGGCTTCTCCTCCCCGTTGGCTTCTCCCTGCCGAGCCGTGGAGCCGCTCCAAACGGCCTCTGCCACCAGCTCCTCGCTGCTCTCCATGCTCAGCTCCTGCTCGGGGGGAGCAAGGACAGGGACACGATGGGATTTGCCCCCGTGGGGACAAGGACACGATGGGATTTGCCCCCGTGTGGACAAGGACACGATGGGATTTGCCTCCCCTGCCCCACAAAAACCCTCCCGGAGACCCCCGCGATGGGGTCGGGCCGAGCTCCCCCTCTCCGCTCACCTGCGGCCTCCGGGCGGCGATGCCGGCGGGGCCGGGGCAGCTGCGGCCCGAGCGGGGGAACAGCGTGGTGTTCGGACGCCTCTTCTTCCCGCGCTTCCTTTTCCTTTGTCCCTCCTCTTCCTCCTCCTCCTTCTCCCCCTCCTCTTCCTCCCGCTCCTCCTCCGCTCCGAGTCCGGCCCGGGCAGCGCCGGTACCAAAATACAGGTGGGGTGAGGGCGTGGTTATGCAAATCCAGGACCGATCGCGCCCCGGGATTGGTGGGACGGAGGAGCGCGGGATTAGCTCGGTGACGTCAAGGCGGGGACGGGGAGCTGGAGCGTCCGGAGAGAGGGTAGCCGGAATGGGGACCGGGAATGGGGACCGGGAATGGGAACAGGGAATGGGGACCGGGAATAGGAACCGGGACAAGGAATGGAGACTGAGAAGGGGAATGGAACCGGGAATGCAGACAACGAACGGGAATGGGGACGGGGAATGGGTACCCGGAATGCGGACAGGGAATGTGAACAGGAAATGGAGACCAGTATAGGGGACAGCAACTGAGAATGGGGACAGGGAATGGAGGCAGGGAATGGGGACCCAGACTGGGGAGAAGGAACGGGAATGGGAATAGGGACAGGGAATGGGGACCGTGGGGTGCCCGAAGTCCTAGGGAAGCCCAAAATCTGTCCCAGGAACCCTCAACTCCCTCAGGCCCAGCATCCCCCTGACACCCTGGAAGATCCTCCCATGGCCACATCCTCGTCTTGGTTCAACATCTTTATTATCAACCTCGGACTTAGAACAGTGTATAAAAATGACAAAGAGATATAAAAAGAAAATCCAGGCTATGAGGAGCCAGGTGGATGTGGAGTCCCCAGCCAGGTGTTCTTCAAGCAGGGGTCAAGGGGGCTCTGCACACCTGGGCTCACGGGGGACCATCCAGAGCAGATCCTCCCGTGTGAGATGGAGCTGGAAAAAGCCAAAGAACTCTTCCCACCCAGGGCTGCCCTCAGTGCTGGCTCTTCTGGTGTCTGGTCATGCTGCCGCTTGTGGTGAAGCCCTTCCCACACTGGGGACACTGGTAGGGTCTCTCCCCAGTGTGGATGCGCCGGTGGGAGATGAGGGCACGGTTCCGCTTGAATCCCACCCCACAATCAGGACAGCGGAAGGGCTTCCCATCCGTGTGGATGCGCTGGTGCAGGAGGAGATTGGATGGGGCTTGAAACGTCTTCTTGCACGGATCACACTCGTAGGGCCTCTCCCCGGTGTGGCTCCTCAGGTGGGCAGTCAGGTGGGAGCTCTGGATGAAGCTTTTCCCACACTGGGGACACTCGTGGGGTCTCTCCCCGGTGTGGATGCGCCGGTGGGTGATGAGGTGGGAGTTGCGCCTGAATCCCTTCCCACACTCACGGCAGTGGAACGGCTTCTCCCCGGTGTGAATGAGCTGGTGGCTGAGGAGCTCGGAGCTGCTCAGGAACCTCTTCTGGCACTGACCACACTCGTAGGGCCTCTCCCCGGTGTGGCTCCTGAGGTGGGCATTCAGGCTGGACCTGTCTCTGAAGCTCTTCCCACACTGGGGACACTCGTAGGGTCTCTCCCCGGTGTGGATGCGCCGGTGGATGATGAGGGTGGAGTTGTGTCTGAATCCCTTCCCGCAGTGAGGGCAGTGGAACGGCTTCTCCTCGGTGTGAATGAGCTGGTGACGGAGGAGCTGGGAGCTTCTCAGGAACCTCTTCTGGCACTGACCACACTCGTAGGGCCTCTCCCCGGTGTGCCTCTTCAGGTGGACAGTCAGGTCGCATCTCCACCGGAAGCTCTTCCCACACTCGGAGCACTTGTGGGGCTTCTCCTGCCCACCCTGGAGCTGCTCATGGAGCCCCAGCTCGGATCTCTGAGCCCCTCCATGGCCCAGGCTGGCTCTTTCCCCCTCGGATCTCCGCGCTCTGCCTTTGCAGCCCCTCCTGCTCAGGGATCTCCGCGCCTTCTCCTCCCCGTTGGCTTCTCCCTGCCGAGCCGTGGAGCCGCTCCAAACGGCCTCTGCCACCAGCTCCTCGCTGCTCTCCATGCTCAGCTCCTGCTCTGGGGGAGCAAGGACAAGGACACGATGGGATTTGCACCCGTGGGGACAAGGACACGATGGGATTTGCCTCCCCTGCCCCACAAAAACCCTCCCGGAGACCCCCGCGATGGGGTCGGGCCGAGCTCCCCCTCTCCGCTCACCTGCGGCCTCCGGGCGGCGATGCCGGCGGGGCCGGGGCAGCTGCGGCCGGAGCGGGGTTGCGGCCGTTCCTCCTCTTCCTTTTCCTCCTGCTCCTTCTGTCACTCTTCCTCTTCCTCCTCCTCTTCCTTTGTCCCTCCTCTTCCTCCCCCTCCTTCTCCCCCTCCTCTTCCTCCCGCTCCTCCTCCGCTCCGAGTCCCGCCCGGGCAGCGCCGGCACCAAAATACAGGCGGGGTGAGGGCGTGGTTATGCAAATCCCGGAGCGAGCGCGCGCCGGGATTGGTGCGAGGGAGGAGCGCGGGGTTTGCTCGGTGACGTCATGGCGGGGGGGGCAGCTGGAGCGTCCGGAGAGAGCGGAGCGGGAATGGGGACCGGGAATGCGAACAGGGACGGGAAATGGAGACTGGGAAGGGGAATGGAACCGGGAATGCGGACAGTGACCGGGAATGGGGAAGGGGAATGGGTACAGGAAATGCGGACAAGGAATGTGAACAGTAAATGGAGACCAGTATAGGCCACAGCAATTGAGAATGGAGACAGGTAATGCAGGCAGGGAATGGGGACCCAGAGTAGGGAGAAGGAGCAGGAATGGGAATGGGAATAGGGAATGGGGACCGTCGGGTTTCTAAAGTCCTAAGGAAGCCCCAAATCTGTCCCAGGAACCCTCAACTCCCTCTGGCCCAGCATCCCCCTCATCCACTGGAAGATCCCCCCATGTCCACATCCTTGTCTTGGTTCCATGTCTTTATTATTAACCTTGGATTTAAAAAGGAGTATAAAAATAACAAAGAGGAAAAAAAGGAAATCCAGGCCACGAGGAGCCAGGAGGATGTGGAGCCCCCAGCCAGGTGTGCTGCAAGCAGGAGTCAAGGGGGCTCTGCCCACCTGGGCTCACTGGGGACCATCCAGAGCAGATCCTCCCGTGTGAGATGGAGCTGGAGCAGCGTACGGAGCTCTGCCCACCCAGGGCTGCCCTCAGTGCTGGCTCTGTAGGTGTCTGGTCATGCTGCTGCTTGTGGTGAAGCCCTTCCCACACTGGAGACACTCGTGGGGTCTCTCCCCAGTGTGGATGCGCCGGTGGGTGATGAGGGCACGGTTCCGCTTGAATCCCACCCCACAATCAGGACAGCAGAAGGGCTTCTCATCCGTGTGGATGCGCTGGTGCAGGAGGAGATCGGACGTCGACCGAAACCTCTTCTTGCACTGATCACACTCATAGGGCCTCTCCCCGGTGTGGCTCCTCAGGTGGGCAGTCAGGTGGGAGCTCTGGATGAAGCTTTTCCCACACTGGGGACACTCGTGGGGCCTCTCCCCAGTGTGGATGCGCCGGTGGGTGATGAGGTGGGACTTGTGTCTGAATCCCTTCCTGCACTCATGGCAGTGGAACGGCCTCTCCTCGGTGTGAATGAGCTGGTGACTGAGGAGATGGGAGCTGCTCAGGAACCTCTTCTGGCACTGACCACACTCGTAGAGTCGTTCCCCAGTGTGGCTCCTCAGGTGGACAATCAGGTTGGAGCTCTGCCTGAAGCTTTTCCCACACTGGGGACACTCGTGGGGTCTCTCCGCCGTGTGGATGCGCTGGTGCTTGCGAAGTTCACCGCTGCGCTTAAACCTCTTCTTGCACTGATCACACTCATATGGTCTCTCCCCAGTGTGAATGCGCCGGTGGGTGCGGAGAGTGGAATTTTCCCTGAATCCCTTCCCACAATCAGGACAGCGGAACGGCCGCTCCTCGCTGTGAATGAGCTGGTGACGGAGCAGATGGGAGCTGCTCAGGAACCTCTTCTTGCACACATCACACTCGTAGGGTCGCTCCCCCGTGTGGATTCTGCAATGCTGCATCAGCCAGGATCTCCACCTGAAGCTCTTCCCACACTCGGAGCACTTGTGGGGCTTCTCCTGCCCATCCTGGAGCTGCTCATGGACCCCCAGCTCTGAGCTCTGACCCTGGTCCAGGGTGGGTTTTTCCCCCTCAGATCCCGTGTGGATTCTCAGGTGCACAATCAGGCAGGATCTCCTCCTGAAGCTCTTCCCACACTCCGAGCACTTGTGGGGCTTCTCCTGCCCACCCTGGAGCTGCTCATGGAGCCCCAGCTCGGATCTCTGAGCCCCTCCATGGCCCACGCTGGCTCTTGCCCCCTCGGATCCCCGCGCTCTGCCTTTGCAGCCCCTCCTGCTCAGGGATCTCCGCGCCTTCTCCTCCCCGTTGGCTTCTCCCTGCCGAGCCGTGGAGCCGCTCCAAACGGCCTCTGCCACCAGCTCCTCGCTGCTCTCCATGCTCAGCTCCTGCTCGGGGGGAGCAAGGACAAGGACACGATGGGATTTGCCCCCATGGGGACAAGGACACGATGGGATTTGCCCCCATGGGGACAAGGACACGATGGGATATGGCCCTGTGGGGACAAGGACACGATGGGATTTGCCCCCATGGGGACAAGGACACGATGGGATTTGCCTCCCCTGCCCCACAAAAACCCTCCCGGAGACCCCCGCGATGGGGTCGGGCCGAGCTCCCCCTCTCCGCTCACCTGCGGGCTCCGGGGGGCGATGCCGGCGGGGCCGGGGCAGCTGCGGCCCGAGCGGGGAAACCGCGTGGTGTTGCGGCGCCTCTTCCTCCCGGCGTTCCTGTTCCGTTGTCCCTCCTCTTCCTCCCGCTCCTCCTCCGCTCCGAGTCCGGCCCGGGCAGCGCCGGCACCCAAAAGCATCCTGAGGGAGAGGGCGTGGTTATGCAAATCTTAGAGCGATCGCGCGTTTGGATTGGTGGGAGGGAGGAGCCCGGGCTTTGCTCGGTGACGTCATGGCGGGGACCAGGAATGGGAATGGGGACCAGGAAAGGAAAAGGGACCCTGCTGTGTTCTCAGGGCTCGCAAGATGTGGGAAGAGATGAAAATTTTGACTCCATTTTTTAATTTTTCAGAAAGCTGAATATGTATTTTTTATTATTCATATCTAATATTAAAAGAAAGTGCTATATTAAATATATACTAAAATATTAGTAAAAAAGAAAATCAATAGAAAGCTAGAAAATAATAGAAAAGAATGATAATAAAATCTTGTGAGTGACCAGAGAGTCTGAGACAGCTCAGCTTTGATTGGGCACCCGAGACCAATCAAAGACGAAATTGCTGCATTCCACAGCAGCAGATAAGTTGTGTTTATATGTTAATTTCTGAGGCCTCTCAGCTTCTCAGGAGAAAAAGATCCCAAGGAAAAGTTTTTTTAATAAAATGTGCCAGTGACAGGAGCGTGAATACTGGACTGCGAATACAGGAGAGGGGCTGGGATTGGGAGCAGGAATCAGAAAATGGGAATGGGAGAGGAAATAGAGAAATGCGAATTAGGGACTGGAATAGGAAAAGGAGAACAAAACAGTAAATAGAGAACTGGGAATTAGGGACTGGAATAGGAAAATGGGAACAGGACAGGGAATACGGGAATGGCAACTGGACAGAGATTATGGGACAGGGCCAAGTATTGAGACAGGAATGGGATCTGGACTCCGATGAGAGCAGGATCCTGGACAGGGGACAGCAGGAACCAGGACGGGAGGACGTGGGGACACTGCCAGGGCAGGAGGTCCTTGATCTGCTGCCCCAGATGGAGCTGCTGGGCCTGGGGTGACCAAAGCCCTGAGGAACCCCCAAATCTGTCCCAGGAACCCTCAGCTCCATGGACCCAGCATCCCCCTCATGCCCATCCTTGGTTCAGTTCAACGTCCTTAATACTGCGACCTGGGCTCACTGGGGACCATCCAGAGCAGGTCCTCCCATGGTGGAGAAGACATCCAAACCTATCTAGTGTCGCTGAAGGCCACCACAGCTTGTAAAAATGACGGAAAAAATGACAGAAAAAAATTTTCTGATATCAGAAGATTGACACATCTGCTCTCCGTAATGGATTTCTGATCTTGGACTGTGGATGAATTCAGGTGACCACGGGGAGCCCGGAGGATGTGGAGCCCCCAGCCAGGTGTCTTCCCAACAGGGATCAAGGGGGCTCTGTCCAGCTGGGCTCACTGGGGACCATCCAGAGCAGATCCTCCCGTGGGGATTCATGTTGGAGAAGACATCCAAGGCAATTTAGTGTTGCTTCAAGCACCACAAGAGCAAAAATCAAAAATGTTCGGGGTCAGAAGTAGACAAATCTGCTCTCCACAAGAGAGACCCAGGGGGAGCCAGGAGGATGTGGAGCCCCCAGCCAGGTGTGCTCCAAACATGGATCAAGGGGGTTCTGCCCACCTGGGCTCACTGGGCACCATCCAGAGCAGATCCTCCCATGTGAGATGGAGCTGGAGCAGCGCACGGAGCTCTGCCAGCCGAGAGCTGCCCGCAGTGCTGGCTCTGTAGGTGTCTGGTCAAGGCAGAGGTTTTACAGAAACTCTTCCCACATTGGGGACACTTGTAGGGTCTCTCTCCAGTGTGCATGTGGCGGTGGGTGATGAGGGTAGAGTTGCACTTGAAGCCCTTCTTGCAGTCGGGGCATTGGAAGGGCCTCTCGTCCGTGTGTGAGCGCTGGTGCTTGTGGAGGTCGGACGTGCTGTAAAATCTCTTTGTGCATTGCTTACACCCGTAGGGCCTCTCCCCGGTGTGAATGAGCCAGTGCCTGAGGAGATCAGGGCTCCTCAGGAACCTCTTCTTGCACTGATCACACTCATAGCACCTCTCCCCTGTGTGGCTCCTCAGGTGCACAGTCAGGCTGGAGCTGTCTCTGAAGCCCTTCCCACACTGGGGACACTCGTGGGGTCTCTCCCCGGTGTGGATTCGACGGTGGACGACGAGGGCAGAGTTGGCCTTGAAGGCCTTCCCACAATCAGGACAGCGGAACGGCCTCTCCTCGGTGTGGCTGCGCTGGTGACGGAGGAGATGGGAGCTGCGTTGAAAGCTCTTCTCGCACTGATCACACTCGTAGGGCCTCTCCCCAGTGTGGCTCCTCAGGTGGGCATTCAGGTTGGACCTGTCTCTGAAGCTCTTCCCACACTGGGGACACTGATAGGGTCTCTCTCCGGTGTGGATGCGCCGGTGGGTTATGAGGTTGGAATTGCACCTGAATCCCTTCCCGCAGTCACGGCAGTAGAACGGCGTCTCCTCAGTGTGGATGAGCTGGTGGCTGAGGAGCTGGGTGCTGGTGACGAACCTCTTCTGGCATTGATCACACTTGTAGTGCGTCTCCCCCGTGTGTCTCCTCAGATGCACAGTCAGGTCGCATCTCCACCTGAAGCTCTTCCCACACTCGGAGCACTTGTGGGGCTTCTCCTCCCCACCCTGGAGCTGCTCATGGAGCCCCAGCTCGGATCTCTGAGCCCCTCCATGGCCCAGGCTGGCTCTTTCCCCCTCGGATCCCCACGCTCTGCCTTTGCAGCCCCTCCTGCTCAGGGATCTCCGCGGCTTCTCCTCCCCGTTGGCTTCTCCCTGCCGAGCCGTGGAGCCGCTCCAAACGGCCTCTGCCACCAGCTCCTCGCTGCTCTCCATGCTCAGCTCCTGCTCGGGGGGAGCAAGGACAAGGACACGATGCGATTTGCCCCCATGGGGAGAAGGACACGATGGGATTTGCCACCGTGGGGACAAGGACACGATGGGATTTGCCCCCGTCGGGACAAGGACACGATGGGATTTGCCACCGTGGGGACAAGGACACGATGCGATTTGCCACCCCTGCCCCACAAAAACCCTCCCGGAGACCCCCGCGATGGGGTCGGGCCGAGCTCCCACTCTCCGCTCACCTGCGGCCTCCTGGGGGCGATGCCGGCGGGGCCGGGGCAGCTGCGGCCGGAGCGCGGGAACCCAGTGGTGTTCGGACGCCTCTTCTTCCCGGTGTTCCTGTTCCGTTGTCCCTCCTCTTCCTTTGTCCCTCCTCTTCCTCCTCCTCCTTCTCCCCCTCCTCTTCCTCCCGCTCCTCCTCCGCTCCGAGTCCGGCCCGGGCAGCGCCGGCACCAAAATACAGGCGGGGTGAGGGCGTGGTTATGCAAATCAGGGAGCGAGCGCGCGCTGGGATTGGTGGGGGCGAGGAGCGCGGGTTTTACTCGGTGACGTCATGGCGGGGGGGGGGGAGCTGGAGCGTCCGGAGAGAGCGGAGCGGGAATGGGGACCGGGAATGGGGACCGGGAATGGGAATGGAGACCGGGAATGGGGACAGGGAGTGGGATTTCGGACAGGGAATGGGGACCGGGAATGGGAACAGGGAATGCGGACCAGTATTGGGGAGAGGAACAGGGAATGGGGACCATGGGGTGCCTAAAGCCCTAAGGAAGCCCAAAATCTGTCCCAGGAACCCTCAACTCCCTCAGGCCCAGCATCCCCCTGATCCCCTGGAGGATCCTACCATGTCCACATCCTCGTCTTGGTTTTCCACATCATTTTTATTAACCTCGGATTTAGAAAAGTGTATAGAAATGACAAAGAGGTATAAAAAGAAAATTAAGGCTATGAGGAGCCAGGAGGATGTGGAGTCCCCAGCCAGGTGTTCTTCAAGCAGGATTAAAGGGGGCTCTGCCCACCTGGGCTCACTGCGGACCATCCAGAGCAGATCCTCCCGTGTGAGATGGAGCTGGAGAAGGCCACGGAGCTCTGCCCACCCAGGGCTGCCCTCAGTGCTGGCTCTGTAGGTGTCTGGTCATGCTGCCGCTTGTGGTGAAGCTCTTCCCACACTGGGGACAAGTGTGGGGTCTCTCCCCGGTGTGGATCGTCCTGTGCTTGATGAGGGTTGAGTTCTCCTTGAATCCCACCCCACAATCGGGACAGCGGAAGGGCCTCCTGTCCGTGTGGATGCGCTGGTGCTTGAGGAGATCAGACGAGGTGTAAAAGCCCTTCTTGCACTGATCACACTCATAGGGCCTCTCCCCTGTGTGGCTCCTCAGGTGGGCAGTCAGGCTGGAGCTTGTGGTGAAGCTCTTCCCACACTGGGGACACTCATAGGGCCTCTCCCCAGTGTGGATGCGCCGGTGGGTGACGAGGTGGGAGTTGTGTCTGAATCCCTTCCCACACTCACGGCAGCGGAACGGCCTCTCCTCGGTGTGACTGCGCTGGTGGCTGAGGAGATCAGAGCTCTTCAGGAACCTCTTCTCACACTGATCACACTCGTAGGGTCGTTCCCCAGCATGGCTCCTCAGGTGGACAGTCAGGTGGGAGCTGTCTCTGAATCCCTTCCCACACTGGGGACACTCGTGGGGTGTCTCCCCGGTGTGGATGCGCCGGTGGACGATGAGGGCAGAGTTGTGTCTGAATCCCTTCCCGCACTCACGGCAGTGGAACGGCCTCTCCTCGGTGTGAATGAGCTGGTGACTGAGGAGCTCGGAGCTGGTCAGGAACCTCTTCTGGCACTGACCACACCTGTAGGGCCTCTCCCCGGCGTGGATGCGCCGGTGCTTGTGGAGATCCCCGCTGCGCTTAAACCTCTTCTTGCACTGATCACACTCATATGGTCTCTCCATGGTGTGAATGCGCCGGTGGATGGTGAGATTGGAATTTTCCCTGAATCCCTTCCCACAATCAGGACAGCGGAACGGCCGCTCCTCGCTGTGAATGAGCTGGTGACGGAGCAGATGGGAGCTGCGCAAGAACCTCTTCTTGCACACATCACACTTGTAGGGTCGTTCCCCCGTGTGGATTCTGCAATGCTGCATCAGCAAGGATCTCAACCTGAAACTCTTCCCACACTCCGAGCACCTGTGGGGCTTCTCCTGCCCACCCTGGAGCTGCTCATGGAGCCCCAGCTCGGATCTCTGAGCCCCTCCATGGCCCAGGCTGGCTCTTGCCCCCTCGGATCCCCGCGCTCTGCCTTTGCAGCCCCTCCTGCTCAGGGATCTCCGCGGCTTCTCCTCCCCGTTGGTTTCTCCCTGCCGAGCCGTGGAGCCGCTCCAAACGGCCTCTGCCACCAGCTCCTCGCTGCTCTCCATGCTCAGCGCCTGCTCGGGGGGAGCAAGGACAAGGACACGATGGGATTTGCCCCCATGGGGACAAGGACACGATGGGATTTGCACCCGTGGGGACAAGGACACGATGGGATTTGCCTCCCCTGCCCCACAAAAACCCTCCCGGAGACCCCCGCGATGGGGTCGGGCCGAGCTCCCCCTCTCCGCTCACCTGCGGCCTCCGGGGGGCGATGCCGGCGGGGCCGGGGCAGCTGCGCCCGGAGCGCGGAAACCGCGTGGTGTTGGGGCGCCTTTTCCTCCCCCTCTTCCTCTGCGGTTGTCCCGCCTCTTCCTTTGTCCCTCCTCTTCCTCCTCCTCCTTCTCCCCCACCTTTTCCTCCCGCTCCTCCTCCGCTCCGAGTCCGGCCCGGGCAGCTCCGGCACCAAAATACAGGCGGGGTGAGGGCGTGGTTATGCAAATCCGGGAGCGAGCGCGCGCCGGGATTGGTGGGACGGCGGAGCGCGGGATTTGCTCGGTGACGTCAAGGCGGGGGCGGGGAGCTGGAGCGTCCGGAGAGAGCGGAGCGGGAATGGGGATCGGAAATGGGGACCGGTAATGGGGACCGGGAATGGGAACAGGGAATGGGGACCGGGAATGGGAACCGGGACAAGGAATGGAGACTGGGAAGGGGAAAGGAACCGGGAATGCGGACAACGACCGGGAATGGGGACGGGGAATGGGTACCGGGAATGCGGGCAAGGAATGGGAACAGGAAATGGAGACCACTATAGGGGACAGCAACTGAGAATGGGGACAGGGAATGGAGGCAGGGAATGGGGACCCAGACTGGGGAGAAGGAACGGGAATGGGAATGGGAACAGGGAATGGGGACCGTGGGGTGCCCGAAGTCCTAAGGAAGCCCCAAATCTGTCCCAGGAACCCTCAACTCCCTCAGGCCCAGCATCACCCTGACACCCTGGACGATCCTCCCATGGCCACATCCACGTCTTGGTTCAGCATCTTTATTATCAACCTCGGACTCAGAAAAGTGTATAAAAATGACAAAGAGATATAAAAAGAAAATCCAGGCTATGAGGAGCCAGGTGGATGTGGAGTCCCCAGCCAGGTGTTCTTCAAGCATGGGTCAAGGGGGCTCTGCGCACCTGGGCTTACTGGGGACCATCCAGAGCAGATCCTCCCGTGTGAGATGGTGCTGGAGAAGGCCAAAGAACTCTTCCCACCAAGGGCTGCCCTCAGTGCTGGCTCTTCTGGTGTCTGGTCATGCTGCCGCTTGTGGTGAAGCTCTCCCCACACTGGGGACACTGGTAGGGTCTCTCTCCAGTGTGGATGCGCCGGTGGGTGATGAGGGCACGGTTCCGCTTGAATCCCACCCCACAATCAGGACAGCGGAAGGGCTTCTCATCCGTGTGGATGCGCTGGTGCAGGAGGAGATCAGACGTCGCCCGAAACCTCTTCTTGCACTGATCACACTCGTAGGGCCTCTCCCCGGTGTGGCTCCTCAGGTGGGCAGTCAGGTGGGAGCTCTGGATGAAGCTTTTCCCACACTGGGGACACTCGTGGGGTCTCTCCCCGGTGTGGATGCGCCGGTGCCTGATGAGGTGGGAGTTGTGCCTGAATCCCTTCCCACACTCACGGCAGTGGAACGGCCTCTCCTCGGTGTGAATGAGCTGGTGGCTGAGGAGATCAGAGCTCCTCAGGAACCTCTTCTGGCACTGACCACACTCGTAGGGCCTCTCCCCGGTGTGGCTGCGCCGGTGCCTGTTAAGGTGGGAGACGCTTTTGAAGCGCTTCCCGCAGACGGGGCACGGGACGGGCCTCTCGTCTGTGTGTGAGCGCTGGTGCCCCACGAGATCACCGCTGCTCCGAAACCTCTTCTTGCACTGGTCACACTCGTAGGGTCGTTCCCCCGTGTGGCTCCTCAGATGGACAGTCAGGTTGAAGGTGTCTCTGAAGCTCTTCCCACATACCCCACACTCGTAGGGTCGTTCCCCCGTGTGGATTCTGCAATGTCTCATCAGGCAGGATCTCCTCCTGAAGCTCTTCCCACACTCGGAGCACTTGTGGGGCTTCTCCTGCCCACCCTGGAGCTGCTCATGGAGCCCCAGCTCGGATCTCTGAGCCCCTCCATGGCCCACGCTGGCTCTTGCCCCCTCGGATCCCCGCGCTCTGCCTTTGCAGCCCCTCCTGCTCAGGGATCTCCGCGGCTTCTCCTCCCCGTTGGCTTCTCCCTGCCGAGCCGTGGAGCCGCTCCAAACGGCCTCTGCCACCAGCTCCTCGCTGCTCTCCATGCTCAGCTCCTGCTCGGGGGGAGCAAGGACAAGGACACGATGAGATTTGCCCCCGTGGGGACAAGGACACGATGGGATTTGCCCCCGTGGGCACAAGGACACGATGGGATTTGCCTCCCCTGCCCCACAAAAACCCTCCCGGAGACCCCCGCGATGGGGTCGGGCCCAGCTCCCACTCTCCGCTCACCTGCGGCCTCCGGGGGGCGATGCCGGCGGGGCAGGGGCAGCTGCGGCCGGAGCGGGGGAACCGCGTGGTGTTGGGGCGCCTCTTCCTCCCGCGCTTCCTCTTCCTTTGTCCCTCCTTTTCCTGTTCCTTTATCTGTCCTCTTTCCTTTGTCCCTCCTTTTCCTTTGTCCCTCCTCTTCCTCCTCCTCCCTCTCCCCCTCCTCTTCCTCCCGCTCCTCTTCCGCTCCGAGTCCGGCCCGGGCAGCGCCGGCACCAAAATACAGGCGGGGTGAGGGCGTGGTTATGCAAATCCGGGAGCGATCGCGCGCTGGGATTGGTGGGAGGGAGGAGCGCGGGGTGTGCTCGGTGACGTCATTGCTGGGGGTGGAACTGGAGCGTCCGGAGAGAGCGGACCGGGAATGGGGACCGGGAATGGGAACAGGGACGGGAAATGGGGAGCGGGAATGGGGACCGGGAATCGGGACAGGGAATGGGGACAGGGAATGGGAATGGGGTCCGGGAATGGGGACATGGACCGGGAATGGGGACAAGGAATGGGGCCTGGGAATGGAACCGGGAATGCGGACAGGGAGCGGGATTGGCGAGAGGGAATGGTGACCTGGAATGCGGACAAGGAATGGGAACAGCGAATTGGGACCAGTATTGGAAACAGGGACCGGGAATGGGGACAGGGAATGGAGGCAGGGAATGGGGACCCAGCCTGGGGATAAGGACTGGGAATGGGGACCAGTATCGGGGACCCAGATTGGGGAGAAGGAGCAGAAATGGTAATGGGGACACGGAATGGGGACCATGGGGAGCCCAAATTCCTGGGCAAGCCCTAAATCTATCCCAGGAACCCTCAACTCCCCCTGGCCCAGCATCCTCCTCATCCCCTGGAAGATCCCCCCATGTCCACATCCTTGTCTTCGTTCAACATCTTTATTATTAACCTCGGATTTAGAAAGGTGTATGAAAATAACATAGAGAAATAAAAGGAAAATCCAGGCCATGCGGAGCCAGGAGGATGTGGAGCCCCCAGCCAGGTGTGCTGCAAGCAGGAGTCAAGGGGGCTCTGCCCACCTGGGCTCAAGGGGATCATCCAGAGCAGATCCTCCTGTGTGAGATGGAGCTGGAGAAGCCCAAGGAGCTCTTTCCAAACAGGGCTGCCCTCAGTGCTTGCTCTTTTGGTGTCTGGTCAAGCTGGAGATTTGACAAAAGCTCTTCCCACACTGGGGACACTCGTGGGGTCTCTCTCCGGTGTGGATTCGCCGGTGGGTGATGAGTGTGCTCTTCTGAGTGAAGCCCTTCCCGCAGTAACAGCAGCGGAACGGTTTCTCCTCGGTGTGGATGAGCTGGTGACGGAGGAGACAAGCACTCCTCAGGAACCTCTTCTCACACTGATCACACTCGTAGGGCCTCTCCCCGGTGTGGATGCGTTGGTGGGCGACGAGTTCGGCCTTGTGCCTGAAGCTCTTCCCACAGTCAGGGCAGCGGAAGGGCCTCTCGTCCGTGTGTGAGCGCTGGTGCATGTGGAGATGGGAGCTGCTCTGAAACGTCTTCTGGCACTGGTCACACTCGTACGGTCGTTCCCCAGTGTGGCTCCTCTGGTGGTAAATCAGGTGGGACTTGTACATGAAGCTCTTCCCACACTCTCCACACTCGTGGGGCCTCTCCCCGGTGTGGCTCCTCAGGTGGTAAACCAGGCTGGAGTTGTTGGTGAAGCTCTTCCCACACTGAGGACACTCACGGGGTCTCTCCCCAGTGTGGATGTTCTGGTGGACGATGAGGGCGGAGTTGTACTTGAAACCCATCCCACAATCAGGACAGCGGAACGGCCTCTCCTTGGTGTGGACGCGCTGGTGCTTGAGGAGATCCCCACTGCTCGGGAACCTCTTCTTGCACTGATCACACTTGTAGGGCCTCTCCCCGGTGTGGGTCCTCTGGTGGACAGTCAGGTGGGAGCTTGAGGTGAAGCCCTTCCCACACTCCCCACACTTGTAGGGTCTCTCCCCAGTGTGGAGGCGCCGGTGGGTGATGAGGTGGCAGTTGTGCCTGAATCCCTTCCCACAGTCAGGACAGCGGAACGGTCGCTCGTCGGTGTGGATGATCTGGTGTGCACGAAGAGTGGCGCTGCTCTGAAACCTCTTCTTGCACACATCACACTCGTAGGGCTTCTGCCCCGTGTGGATCATCTGGTGTTTAACAAAGGTGGAGATGCTCAGGAACCTCTTCTTGCACTGATCACACTCGTAGGGCTTCTCCCCAGTGTGGATGTGCAGGTGCAAGATGAGGGCAGAGCTGCCCCTAAAGCCCTTCCCACAATCAGGGCAGCGGAATGGCCTCTCGCCGGTGTGGATCCGCTGGTGCCTGTGGAGCTCGGAGCTGGTCCGGAACCTCTTCTGGCACTGATCGCACTCGTAGGGCCTCTCCTCAGTGTGAATGCGCTGGTGCTTGCGGAGCTCACCACTACTCTGAAACCTCTTCTTACACTGATCACACTCATAGGGTCGTTCCCCCGTGTGGTTCCTCAGGTGGACAGTAAGGTAGGATTTCCTGGTGAACCTCTTCCCACATTCGGAGCACTTGTGGGGCTTCTCCTGCCCACCCTGGAGCTGCTCATGGAGCCCCAGCTCGGATCTCTGAGCCCCTCCATGGCCCACGCTGGCTCTTGCCCCCTCGGATCCCCGCGCTGTGCCTTTGCAGCCCCTCCTGCTCAGGGATCTCCGCGGCTTCTCCTCCCCGTTGGCTTCTCCCTGCCGAGCCGTGGAGCCGCTCCAAACGGCCTCTGCCACCAGCTCCTCGCTGCTCTCCATGCTCAGCTCCTGCTCGGGGGGAGCAAGGACAAGGACACGATGGGATTTGCCCCCGTGGGGACAAGGACACGATGGGATTTGCCCCCGTGGGGACAAGGACACGACGGGATATGGCCCTGTGGGGACAAGGACACGATGGGATTTGCCCCCGTGGGGACAAGGACACGATGGGATTTGCCTCCCCTGCCCCACAGAAACCCTCCCGGAGACCCCCGCGATGGGGTCGGGCCGAGCTCCCCCTCTCCGCTCACCTGCGGGCTCCGGGGGCGATGCCGGCGGGGCGGGGGCAGCTGCGGCCGGAGCTGGGGAACCGCGCGGGGTTGGGGCGCCTCTTCCTCCCGATGTTCCTGTTCAGTTGTCCCTCCTCTTCTTTTGTCCCTCCTTTTCCTCTTTCTTTTTCTCTCCTCTTGCTTTGTCCCTCCTCTTCCTCCCGCTCTTCCTCTTCCTTCGTCCCGCCTCTTCCTTTGTTCCTCCTTTTACCGTTTCCTTTGTCTCCCCTCTTTCCTTGTCCCTCCTCTTCCTTTGTCCCTCCTCTTCCTCCTCCTTCTTTCCTACCCCCTCCTCTTCCTCCCGCTCCTCCTCCGCTCCGACTCCGGCCCTGGCAGCGCCGGCACCCAAAAGCAGGCGGGGGGCGAGGGCGTGGTTATGCAAATAGGGGAGCGATCGCGCGCTGCGATTGGTGGGGGGGAGGAGCGCGGGCTTTGCTCGGTGATGTCATGGCGGGAACGGGGAATCGGGACGGGGAATGGGGACCCAGAACGGAAAAGGGACCCTGTGGTTGTCGCCGGGGTCCCAAGATGAGGCAAGAGATTAAAATTTTGACTCCCTGTTGTTATTTTGAGAAAGCTCATTTATTATTTTAATATCGATATATATTAAAAGATAACGGTATATTGAAATTATACTAAAAAGATAGAAAGGAGGATTTCACCAGAAAGCTGGAAAATAATAAAAAAGAATGATAATAAAATCGTGTGAGTGACCAGAGTCTGACACAGCTGAATTTTGATTGGCCATTACTTAGAAACTACAACCCGAGACTAATCAAAGATTAAAATGCTGCATTCCATAGCAGCAGATAATTCGTGTTTATTTTTTAATTTGTGAGGCCTCTCAGCTTCTCAGGAGAAAAAGATCCTAAGGAAAGGATTTTTTAATAAACTATGTCCATGACATATTTTATTTAAATCGAGTGTGAATACTGGACTGGGAATACAAGAGAGGGGCTGGGATTGTGATCAGGAACCAGAAAATGGAAACGGGACAAGAAATAGAGAAATGGGAATTGCGGACTGGAATAGGAAAAGGAGAACAAAACAGTAAATAGAGAAATGGGAATTGGGGACTGGAACAGGAAAATGGGAACAGGACAGGAAATACGGGAATGGCATCCAGATAGAGAATATGGGACAGGGACAAGTATTGAGACAGGAATGGGATCTGGACTCGGATGAGAGCAGGATCCTGGACAGGGGACAGCAGGAACCAGGACGGGAGGACGTGGGGACACTGCCAGGGCAGGGGGTCCTTGATCTGCTGCCCCAGATGGAACTGCTGGGCCTGGGGTGCCCAAAGCCCTGAGGAACCCCCAAATCTGTCCCAGGAACCCTCAACTCCCTCTGGCCCAGCATCCCCCTCATGCCCTGGAAGATCCCCCCATGTGCACATCCTCATCTTGGTTCAACGCCTTTATTATTAACCTCGGATTTAGAACGGTGTATAAAAATAACAAAGAGAAATCAAAAGGAAATCCAGGCCACGAGGAGCCAGGACGATGTGGAGCCCCCAGCCAGGTGTGCTGCAAGCAGGAGTCAAGGGGGCTCTGCCCACCTGGGCTCACTGGGGACCATCCAGAGCAGATCCTCCCGTGTGAGATGGAGCTGGAGAAGGGCACAGAGCTCTGCCCACCCCGGGCTGCCCTCAGTGCTGGCTCTGCAGGTGTCTGCTCAAGCTGGAAATTCGAGAAAAGCTCTTCCCACAATGGGAACACTTGTGGGGTCTCTCCCCGGTGTGGATCCTCTTGTGTGTGACCAGAGTTGAGTTGTGCTTGAATCCCACCCCACAATCAGGACAGCGGAAGGGCCTCTCGTCCGTGTGGATGCGCTGGTGACTGAGGAGTTCAGACGAGGTGTAAAAGCCCTTCTTGCACTGATCACACTCGTAGGGCCTCTCCCCGGTGTGGCTCCTGAGGTGGGCAGTCAGATGGGAGCTCTGGGTGAAGCTCTTCCCACACTGGGGACACTCATAGGGCCTCTCCCCGGTGTGGATGCGCCGGTGACTGTTGAGGTGGGAGTTGCGTCTAAAACTCTGTCCACAGTCACGGCAGTGGAACGGCCTCTCCCCGGTGTGGATGAGCTGGTGACGGAGGAGCTTGGAGCTGCTCAGGAACCTCATCTGGCACTGACCACACTCGTAGGGCCTCTTCCCAATGTGGATGCGCCGGTGCCTGTTGAGGTCGGAGATGCTTTTGAAGCCCTTCCCGCAGTCGGGGCACTGGAAGGGCCTCTCGTCTGTGTGTGAGCGCTGGTGCACCACGAGATCAGAGCTGGTCACAAACCTCTTCTGGCACTGATCACACTCGTAGGGTCGTTCCCCCGTGTGGCTCCTCAGGTGGACAGTCAGGTTGGATCTACTCTTGAAGCTCTTCCCACACTCGGAGCACTTGTGGGGCTTCTCCTGCCCACCCTGGAGCTGCTCATGGAGCCCCAGCTCGGATCTCTGAGCCCCTCCATGGCCCAGGCTGGCTCTTGCCCCCTCGGATCCCCGCGCTCTTCCTTTGCAGCCCCTCCTGCTCAGGGATCTCCGCGCCTTCTCCTCCCCGTTGGCTTCTCCCTGCCGAGCCGTGGAGCCGCTCCAAACGGCCTCTGCCACCAGCTCCTCGCTGCTCTCCATGCTCAGCTCCTGCTCGGGGGGAGCAAGGACAAGGACACGATGGGATTTGCCCCCATGGGGACAAGGACACGATGGGATTTGCCTCCCCTGCCACAAAAAACCCTCCCGGAGACCCCCGCGATGGGGTCGGGCCGAGCTCCCCCTCTCCGCTCACCTGCGGCCTCCGGGGCTCGATCCCGGCGGGGCCGGGGCAGCTGCGGCCGGAGCGGGGGAACCGCGTGGTGTTGGGGCGCGTCTTCTTCCCGCGCTTCCTATTCCTTTGTCCCTCCTCTTCCTTTGTCCCTCCTCTTCCTCCTCCTCCTTCTTTCCCCGCCCGTGCACCGCCAGCACCAAAATACGGGCGGAGAGCGAGGGCGTGGTTATGCAAATGAGAGAGCGAACGCGCGCAGGCATTGGTGGGAGGGAGGAGTGCGGGATTTCCTCAGTGACGTCATGGCGGGGGCAGGAACTGGTGCGTCCGCAGCGAGCGGAGCTGGAATGGGGACCGGGAATTGAGGCAGGGAATGGGGACCCAGACTGGGGATAAGAAGCCGGAATGGTAATGGGGACAGGGAATGGGGACCGTGGGGTTCCCAAAGTCCTAAGGAAACCCCAAATCAGTCCCAGGAATCCTGAACTCCCTCTGTCCCAGCATCCCCCTCATCCCCTGGAAGATCCCCCCATGTGCACATCCTCATCTTGCTTAGCTGTCTTTATTATTAACACCGGATTAAAAAATGTGTATAAAAAGGACAAGGAGAGAAAAAAAGAATATCCAGCCCACGAGGAGCCAGGTGGATGTGGAGCCCCCAGCCAGGTGTTCTTAAAGTAGGATTAAAGGGGGCTCTGTCCGCCTGGGCTCACTGAGGAGCATCCAGAGCAGATCCTCCCGTGTGAGATGGAGCTGCAGAAGGCCACAGAGCTCTGCCCACCCAGGGCTGCCCTCAGTGCTGGCTCTTCTGGTGTCTTCTCAAGGTAGTGATTTTAGAGAAGCTCTGCCCACACTGGAGACACTCATAGGGTCTCTCCCGGGTGTGGATCCTCCTGTGTCTGACCAGAGCTGAGTTGTGCTTGAATCCCACCCCACAATCAGGACAGCGGAAGGGCCTCTCGTCCGTGTGGATGCGCTGGTGACTGAGGAGTTCAGACGAGGTGTAAAAGCCCTTCTGGCACTGATCACACTCGTAGGGCCTCTCCCCGGTGTGGCTTCTGAGGTGGACAGTCAGATTGCAGCTCTGGTTGAAACTCTTCCCACACTGGGGACACTCATAGGGCCTCTCACCAGCGTGGCTCCTCAGGTGGACAGTCAGATGGGAGCTCTGGGTGAAGCCCTTCCCACACTGGGGACACTCGTGGGGTCTATCCCCGGTGTGGATGCGCTGGTGGACGACGAGGGCACACTTGCGACTGAATCCCTGCCCGCACTCACGGCAGTGGAACGGCCTCTCCCGGGTGTGAATGAGCTGGTGACTGAGGAGATGGGAGCTGCTCAGGAACCTCTTCTGGCACTGACCACACTCGTAGGGCCTCTCCCCGGTGTGGATCCGCTGGTGCTTGTGGAGATCAGAGCTGGTCAGGAACCTCTTCTGGCACTGATCACACTCATATGGTCTCTCCCCAGTGTGAATGCGCCGGTGGGTGGTGAGAGTGGAAGTTCCCCTGAATCCCTTCCCACAATAAGGACAGTGGAACGGCCGCTCCTCGGTGTGAATCCGCTGGTGACCACGAAGATTGGAGCTGCTCAAGAACCTCTTCTTGCACACATCACACTCGTAGGGTCGTTCCCCCGTGTGGATTCTGCAATGCTGTATCAGGTCACATCTCCGCTTGAAGCTCTTCCCACACTCGGAGCACTTGTGGGGCTTCTCCTCCCCACCCTGGAGCTGCTCATGGAGCCCCAGCTCGGATCTCTGAGCCCCTCCATGGCCCAGGCTGGCTCTTGCCCCCTCGGATCCCCGCGCTCTGCCTTTGCAGCCCCTCCTGCTCAGGGATCTCCGCGGCTTCTCCTCCCCGTTGGCTTCTCCCTGCCGAGCCGTGGAGCCGCTCCAAACGGCCTCTGCCACCAGCTCCTCGCTGCTCTCCATGCTCAGCTCCTGCTCTGGGGGAGCAAGGACAAGGACACGATGGGATTTGCCCCCATGGGGACAAGGACACGATGGGATTTGCCCCCGTGGGCACAAGGACACGATGGGATTTGCCTCCCCTGCCCCACAAAAACCCTCCCGGACACCCCCGCGATGGGGTCGGGCCGAGCTCCCCCTCTCCACTCACCTGCGGGCTCCGGGGGCGATGCCGGCGGGGGCCGGGGCAGCTGCGGCCGGAGCGGGGGAACCGCGTGGTGTTGGGGCGCCTCTTCCTCCCGGTGTTCCTCTTCCGTTGTCCCTCCTCTTCCTTTGTCCCTCCTCTTCCTCCTCCCCCTCCTCCTTTTTTCCCCCCCCTCCTCTTCCTCCCGCTCCTCCTCCGCTCCGAGTCCCGCCCGGGCTGCGGGGGCATCCACAATAAGGCGGGGAGCGTAGGCGTGGTTATGCAAATCCAGGAGCGATCGCGCGCTGGGATTGGTGGCTGGGAGGAGCGCGGGCTTTGCTCCGTGACGCAATCGCCAGGGACCGGCACCGGCAATGGGGACCGGGAATGCGAATGGAAATGGGGACCAGGAACGGAAAAGGGACCCTGTGGTGGTCTCAGGGGTCCCAATATGAGGGAAGAGATGACAATTTCGACTCCTTGAGTATTTTTTTCGGAAAGCTAGTCTATTACTTTATTATTGATGTATTGCAGGAAAATGCTATATAAAAATGTTACCAGATTAATAGAACAAAAGGATTTCATCGGAAAGCTAGAAAACAATAGAAAATTATTATGATAAAATCTTGTGAGCGAACAGAGTGTCTGAGAGAGCCAAATTTTAATTGATCATTAATTAAAAACAACCACATTAAACCAATCAAGGTAAAATTGCTGCATTCCACAGCAGCAGATCATTAGTGTTTAATTTTCATTCTTGACGTCTCTCCGCGCCTCAGGAGGAAAAGATCGTAAGGAAAGGATTTTTTAATAAAATATGCCCGTGACAGGAGCGTGAATACTGGACTGGGAATAGAGGAGAGGGGCTGGGATTGGGATCAGGAATCAGAAAATCGGAACGGGACAGGGAATAGAGAAATAGGAATTGGGGACTGGAATAGGAAAAGGAGAACAAAACAGTAAATAGAGAAATGGGAATTGGGGACTGGAACAGGAAAATGGGAACAGGACAGGAAATATGGGAATGGCAACCGGATAGAGAATATGGGACAGGGACAAGTATTGAGACAGGAATGGGATCTGGACTCGGATGAGAGCAGGATCCTGGACAGGGGACAGCAGGAACCAGGACGGGAGGACGTGGGGACACTGCCAGGGCAGGGCGTCCTTGATCTGCTGCCCCAGATGGAGCTGCTGGGCCTGGGGTGCCCAAAGCCCTGAGGAACCCCCAAATCTGTCCCAGGAACCCTCAACTCCCTCTGGCCCAGCATCCCCCTCATGCCCTGGAAGATCCCCCCATGTCCACATCCTCATCTTGGTTCAACATCTTTATTATTAACCTCGGATTTAGAACGGTGTATAAAAATAACAAAGAGAAATAAAAAGGAAATCCAGGCCACGAGGAGCCAGGATGATGTGGAGCCCCCAGCCAGGTGTGCTGCAAGCAGGAGTCAAGGGGGCTCTGCCCACCTGGGCTCACTGGGGACCATCCAGAGCAGATCCTCCTGTGTGAGATGGAGCTGAAGAAGGGCACGGAGCTCTGCCCACCCAGGGCTGCCTTCAATGCTGTTTCTTCTGGTGTGTGCTGCAGCTGGAAATTCGAGAAAAGCTCTTCCCACACTGGGGACACTTGTGGGGTCTCTCCCCGGTGTGGATCCTCCTGTGTCTGACCAGATCTGAGTTGTGCTTGAATCCCACCCCACAACTGGGACAGCGGAAGGGCCTCTCGTCCGTGTGGATGCGCTGGTGCACGAGGAGTTGAGACGAGGTGTAAAAGCCCTTCTGGCACTGATCACACTCATAGGGCCTCTCTCCAGCGTGGCTCCTCAGGTGCACAGTCAGGCTGGAGCTCTTTCGGAAGCCCTTCCCACACTGGGGACACTCGTGGGGTCTCTCCCCGGTGTGGATGCGCCGGTGGACGATGAGGGCAGAGTTGTGCCTGAAGCGCTGCCCGCAGTCACAGCAGTGGAACGGCCTCTCCCCGGTGTGGATCAGCTGGTGACGGAGCAGATGGGAGCTGCTCAGGAACCTCTTCTGGCACTGACCACACTCCTATGGTCTCTCCCCAGTGTGGATGTGTTGGTGACGGAGCAGATGGGAGCTATGCTGAAAACTCTTCTTGCACTGATCACATTCGTAGGGCCTCTCCCCGGTGTGGATGCGCTGGTGGGTGATGAGGGCAGAGTTATTCCGGAACACCTTCTTGCAGTCGGGGCACTGGAAGGGTTTCTTACCCGTGCATGAGCGCTGGTGCTTGAGGAGATCAGACGTGGTGTAAAACTTCTTCTGGCACTGATCACACTCGTAGGGCCTCTCCCTGGTGTGACTGCGCTGGTGACGGAGGAGATCAGAGCTGCTCAGGAACCTCTTCTGGCACTGATCACACGCATAGGGCCTCTCCCCGGTGTGGCTTCTCAGGTGGGCAGTCAGGTTGGAGCTGTCTCTGAAGCTCTTCCCACACTGATCACACTTGTAGGGTCTCTCCCCGGTGTGGATACGCTGGTGGGTGATGAGGGTGCCGTTCTGCTTGAAGCCCTTTCCGCAGTCAGGGCAATGGAAAGGCCTCTCCTCGGTGTGAATGAGCTGGTGACGGAGGAGATGGGAGGACCTGTCAAACCTTTTCTTGCACTGACCACACTCGTAGGGCCTCTTCCCGGTGTGGATCATCCGGTGCCTGTTGAGGGTGGAGACGCGGTTGAAGCGCTTCCTGCAGTCTGGGCACTGGAAGGGCCTCTCGTCTGTGTGTGAGCGCTGGTGCACCACGAGATCACCGCTGCTCCGAAACCTCTTCTTGCACTCGTCACACTCGTAGGGCCTCTCCCCTGTGTGGCTCCTCAGATGGACAGTCAGGCTGGAGCTCGAGGTGAAGCCCTTCCCACACACCCCACACTCGTAGGGTCGTTCCCCCGTGTGGATTCTGCAATGCTGCATCAGCAAGGATCTCCACCTGAAGCTCTTCCCACACTCGGAGCACTTGTGGGGCTTCTCCTGCCCACCCTGGAGCTGCTCATGGAGCCCCAGCTCGGATCTCTGAGCCCCTCCATGGCCCACGCTGGCTCTTGCCCCCTCGGATCCCCGCGCTCTGCCTTTGCAGCCCCTCCTGCTCAGGGATCTCCGCGGCTTCTCCTCCCCGTTGGCTTCTCCCTGCCGAGCCGTGGAGCCGCTCCAAACGGCCTCTGCCACCAGCTCCTCGCTGCTCTCCATGCTCAGCTCCTGCTCGGGGGGACCAAGGACAAGGACACGATGGGATTTGCCCCCGTGGGCACAAGGACACGATGGGATTTGCCTCCCCTGCCCCACAAAACCCTCCCGGAGACCCCCGCGATGGGGTCGGGCCAAGCTCCCCCTCTCCGCTCACCTGCGGCCTCCGGGGGGCGATGCCGGCGGGGCCGGGGCAGCTGCGGCCGGAGCGGGGGAACCGCGTGGTGTTCGGACGCCTCTTCCTCCCGGTGTTCCTGTTCCGTTGTCCCTCCTCTTTCTTTGTCCCTCCTCTTCCTCCTCCCCCTCCTCCTTCTTTCCCCCCCCCCCTCTTCCTCCCGCTCCTCCTCCGCTCCGAGTCCGGCCCGGGTAGCGCCGGCACCCAAAAGCAGGCGGAGAGCGAGGGCGTGGTTATGCAAATCCTGAGGCGATCGCGCGCTGGGATTGGTGGAGGGCAGGAGCGCGGGCTTTGCTCGGTGATGTCATGGCGGGAACGGGGAATCGGGACGGGGAATGGGCACCGGGAACGGAAAAGGGACCCTGTGGTTGTCACCGGGGTCCCAAGATGAGGCAACAGATTACAATTTTGACTCCATATTTTTATTTTGAGAAAGCTGATTTATTATTTTATTATTGATATATGATATTAAAAGATAATGCTATATTGAAATTATACTAAAAGAATAGAAAAAAGGATTTCATCAGAAAGCTAGAAAATAATGGAAAAGAATGATAATAAAATCTTGTGAGTGACCAGAGAGTCTGAGACAGCTAGGCTTTGATTGTCCATTAATTAAAAACAACCAGATTAGATCAATTAAAGATGAAATTGCTGCAATCCACAGCAGCAGATACTTAGTGTTGATAGTTTAATTTCAGAGGCCTTTCAGCTTCTCAGGAGCATAAGATCCTAAGGAAAGGATTTTTTAATAAAATATGTCTGTGACACATTTTATTTAAATGGAGCGTGAATACTGGACTGGGATTGGGATCAGCAATCAGAAAATGGGAACAGGAAAGGAAACAGAGAAATGGGAATTGGGGACTGTAATAGTAAAAGTGGAAAAGCACAGGGGATACTGGAATGGCAACCAGATAGAGAACTCCCTCAGACCCAGCCTCCCCCTCATCCCCTGGAAGACCCCCCCATGTCCCCATGCTTGTTTTAGTTCAATATTTTTATTATTATCCCCAGATCTGGGTGTTTAGAAAGGATAAAGAGAAATAAAAAGAAAATCCAGGCCACGGGGATCCAGGAGGATGTGGAGCCCTCAGCCAGGTGTGCTTCAAACATGAATCACCTGGGCTCTGCCAACCCGGGCACCATCCAGAGCAGATCCTCCCGTGTGCTGGAGCAGAGCACGGAGCTCTTCCCACCTCAGTGCTGGGTCTGCAGGTGTCTGGTCATGTGGGCGTTCGTGCTGAAGCTCTTCCCACACTGGGGACACTGGAACGGCGTCTTCCTGCTGCGGCTGCACCGGTGCGTCACCAGCTTGGACCTTTGCCTGAACCCCCTCCCGCAAGCGTAACAGCAGAACGGCCTCTCCCCGGTGTGCGTCAGCTTGTGGCTGAGCAGGTGGGAGCTGGTCAGGAACCTCTTCTTGCACACATCACACTCGTAGGGTTTCTCCCCGCTGTGCATCCTCTGGTGGTAAACCAGGTGGGACTTGGACATGAAGGCCTTGCCGCACTCCCCGCACTCGTGGGGCCGCTCCCCGGTGTGGATCATGCGGTGGGTGAGGAGGCAGGACTTGGTGGTGAAGCTCTTGCCGCACTTCCTGCACTCGTAGGGCCTCACCTGCGTGTGGCACTTCTGGTGGACGATCAGGCTGGAGCTCTGCGAGAAGCTCCTCCAGCAGTACTCGCACTCGTAGGGCCGCTCCGCGTGGCCCCTCTGGTGCGCGAACAGGTTGGAGCTCTGCGTGAAGCTCTTCCCGCACTGCCCGCACACGTACGGCCTCTCCCCGGTGTGGATCCTCCGGTGCTTGACCAGGCTGGACTTTTGCCGGAAGCCCTTCCCGCAGTCGTCGCAGCGGAACGGTTTCTCCCCGGTGTGGATGCGCTGGTGCTCCGCCAGCAGCGAGCGGGTCGGGAAGGAGCTCTGGCACTGCTCGCACCCGTAGGGCCTCTCCCCGGTGTGGGTGCGGCGGTGCCGGACGAGGGCCGAGTTCTCCTTGAAGCCCGCGCCGCACTCGGGGCACCGGAACGGCCGCTCGCCCGTGTGCGAGCGCTGGTGGACGACGAGCGAGGAGCTGCTCTGGAACCTCTTCTGGCACTGGTCGCACTCGTAGGGCTTCTCCCCGGTGTGGGTCCTCAGGTGGCTGGTCAGGTGGGACTTGCAGGTGAAGCTCTTGGCGCAGAACTGGCACGCGTAGGGTCTCTCGCCGGTGTGGGTCACCCTCTGGTGGCGGATGAGCTGCGAGTTCCAGCTGAAGCTCTCCCCACACTCCCCGCACTTGTAGGGCTTCTCCCCGGTGTGGACCCTGCTGTGCTCCATCAGGTTGGCTCTCTTCCTGAAGCTCTTCCCGCACTCCGAGCACTTGTGGGGCTTCTCCTCCCCATCCTGGAGCTGCTCTTGGACCACCACCATCAATACCTGACCGCCTTCACGAGCCGGGGTTGGATTTCCGCCCAGCTGTTGCCCAGCGTGGATCTTCTGGTGGTCACTCAGGTGGGTTTTCTGGGTGAAGCTCTTCCCACACACCCCACACACGTAGGGCCGCTCTCCCGTGTGGATTCTGAGGTGGCGGGTCAGGTTGGAGCTCTTCCAGAAGCTCCTCCCACACTCGGAGCACTTGTGGGGCTTCTCCTCCCCATCCTGGAGCTGCTCATGGACCCCCAGCTCGGATCCCTCACGCAGGGTGGGTTTTTCCCCCTCACGTCTCAGCTGTCCCCCGGTGTGGGTTCTGAAATGCCTCATCATTTTGGATCTCCACCTGAAGCTCTTCCCACACACCGAGCACTTGTGGGGCTTCTCCTGCCCACCCTGGAGCTGCTCGTGGACCCCCGGCTCTGATCCCTGACCCCCTTCATCACCCAGGGTTGGTTTTCCGCCCAGCTGTGGCCCCACGTGGATCTTCTGGTGCTCCATCACGTGGGCTTTCTGGGTGAAGCCCTTCCCGCAGTGCCCACACACGTAGGGCCTCTCCCCAGTGTGCATTCTGCGGTGGCGGATCAGGTTGGATCTCCACCTGAAGCTCTTCCCACACTCGGAGCACTTGTGGGGCTTCTCCTGCCCACCCTGGAGCTCCTCGTGGACCCCCAGCTCTGATCCCTGACCCTGGTCCAGGGTGGGTTTGTCCCCCTCGGATCCCACCTGCTGCCCCGCGTGGATTTTGAGGTGGACAGTCAGGTTGGAATTCTGGCTGAAGCTCTTCCCACACACCCCACACTGGTAGGGACGTTCTCCCGTGTGGATTCTGAGGTGGCGCACCAGGTTGGCTCTCCACCTGAAGATCTTCCCACACTCCGAGCACCTGTGGGGCTTCTCCTCCCCACCCTGGAGCTGCTCATGGAGCCCCAGCTCGGATCTCTGAGCCCCTCCATGGCCCAGGGTGGGTTTGTCCCCCTCGGATCTCACCTGTTGCTCTGTGTGGTTCTTCAGGTGTTCCATCAGGTGGGAACTCAGCATGAAGATCTCCCCACATGCCGAGCACCTGTGGGGCTTCTCCTCCTCATCCTGGAGCTGCTCATGGACCCCCAGCTCTGATCTCTGACCACCACCATGGTCCAAGATGGGTTTTTCCTCCTCAGATCTCAGCTGTCCACCCGTCTGGCTCTTCAGGTGTTCAATCAGGTGGGAACTCAGCATGAAGCTCTTCTCCCATTCCAAGAACTTGGGAGGCTTCTCCTCATCCTGGGGCTGCTCATGGACCTCCAGCTCTGATCTCTGACCCTGGTCCAGGGTGGGTTTTTCTCCCTCGGATCTCAGCTGTCCCCCCGTGTGGATCCTCTGGTGGATAATCAGGCAGGACCTCAACCTGAAGCTCTTCCCACACTCCGAGCACGTGTGGGGCTTCTCCTGGAGCTGCTCATGGACCCCCAGCTCTGATCCCTGACCCTGGTCCAGGGTGGGTTTGTCCCCCTCAGATCCCACCTGTGGCCCCTTGTGGATTCTGCGATGCTTGCTCAGGGACGAGCTCCACCTGAAGCTCTTCCCACACTCGGAGCACTTGTGGGGCTTCTCCTGCCCACCCTGGAGCTGCTCATGGAGCCCCAGCTCTGAGCCCTGACCCTGGTCCAGGGGGGGTTTTTCCCCCTCAGATCCCAGTTGTTCTCCGGTGTGGATTTTGCAGTGCTTGATAAAGTTCAATCTCCTCTTGAAGCTCTTCCCACACTCGGAGCACCTGTGGGGCTTCTTCTCCCCATCCTGGAGCTGCTCATGGAGCCCCAGCTCGGCCTCTGCCACCAGCTCCTCGCTGCTCCCCATGCTCAGCTCCTGCTCTGGGGGAGCAAGGAGAAGTTCAGGAGGGGATTTGGGATTTGCCCCACAAGGACAGGATGGGATTTGGGATTGGCCACACAAGGACTCGATGAGATTTGCCCCAAACCAAGGACAGGATGGGATTTGCCCCACAAGTTCAGGACGGGATTTGGGATTTGCCCCACAAGTTCAGGATGCTGTGCCGGTGCTCACAGGGCTCTCACGTTGAGGGAACAGCCTCAGGATCTCACTCCACGTCTCACAAGGCTGATTTATCATTTTATGCTCTATATTCCATCCAAATGAATCTATATTCCATTATTATTTTATTCCACCAAATAATAAATCTTTTACCCCAAAAGAGCAGCAGGAAAGGTTCCACCAGCAGGCTGGCTGAGCCAGGAATAGAAAGGAATGATAACGAAGGCTCTGTCCCCGGCTCTCTGTCTGCGATTGGCCATTCGTTATAAACATTCATTATAAACATTCATCATAAACATTCATTATAAACATTCATTATTAGCAGGGGCCAGTCCCAGCCCCACCTGCTGCATTCCACAGCAGCAGAGAGTCAATGTTTGCATTCTGTGCCTGAGGCCCCTCGGCTGCTCAGCAGGAAAAACCCCAAAAAAAGGATTTTTCATAAAATTATGTCTGTGACAGTGCATGGGCCTGGGAGGCAGCTGGAATAAAATGGAGTTGTCTCTGCAAAGAGATTTTCCAGCCTCTTTTTACAAGTTTTTACAGCCTGTTCTTGTCATTGTGATGCAAATCCCATCGTGTCCTTGTGGGGCAAATCCCATCCTGAATTGTGGGGCAAATCCCAAATCCCACCCAGAACTTGTGGGGCAAATCCCATCCTGCCCTTGCCCTCACGGGGGCAAATTACATCGTGTCCTTGTGGGGCAAATCCCAAATCCCATCCTGAATTGGGGGGCAAATCCCGTCCTGAATTTGGTGTGGGGCAAATCCCATTCTGAATTGTGGGGCAAATCCCAAATGCCATCCTGAACTTGTGGGGCAAATCCCAAATCCCATTGTGTCCCTGTCCTTGTGGGGCAAATCCCATCCTGTCCTTGTCCTTTTGGGGCAGATTCCCCCCTATATATCACAAGGACGGGAAGGGATTTGCCCCACAAGTTCAGGATGGGATTTGGGATTTGCCCCACAAGGACACGATGGGATTTGCCCCCATGAGGGCAAGGACAGGATGGGATTTGCCCCACAAGTTCTGGGTGGGATTTGGGATTTGCCCCACAAATTCAGGATGAGATTTGGGATTTGGGATTTGCCCCACAAGTTCAGGATGGGATTTGGGATTTGCCCTACAAGGACACGATGAGATTTACATCACAATGCCAAGCACAGGATGTAAAAACTTGGAAAACCAGCCTGGAAAATCTCTTTGCAGAGACAACTCCATTTTATTCCAGCTGCCTCCCAGGCCCATGCACTGTCACAGACATAATTTTATGAAAAATCCTTTTTTTGGGGTTTTTCCTGCTGAGCAGCCGAGGGGCCTCAGGCACAGAATGCAAACATTGACTCTCTGCTGCTGTGGAATGCAGCAGGTGGGGCTGGGACTGGCCCCTGCTAATAATGAATGTTTATAATGAATGTTTATGATGAATGTTTATAATGAATGTTTATAACGAATGGCCAATCGCAGACAGAGAGCCGGGGACAGAGCCTTCGTTATCATTCCTTTCTATTCCTGGCTCAGCCAGCCTGCTGGTGGAACCTTTCCTGCTGCTCTTTTGGGGTAAAAGATTTATTATTTGGTGGAATAAAATAATAATGGAATATAGATTCATTTGGATGGAATATAGAGCATAAAATGATAAATCAGCCTTGTGAGACGTGGAGTGAGATCCTGAGGCTGTTCCCTCAACGTGAGAGCCCTGTGAGCACCGGCACAGCATCCTGAACTTGTGGGGCAAATCCCAAATCCCGTCCTGAACTTGTGGGGCAAATCCCAAATCCCGTCCTGAATTGTGGGGCAAATCCCAAATCCCATCCTGAACTTGTGGGGCAAATCCCAAATCCCGTCCTGAATTGTGGGGCAAATCCCACCCTGAACTTGTCCTTGTGGGGCAAATTTCCCCCTATATATCACAAGGAGAAAATGGGATTTGCCCCCATGAGGACAAGGACAGGATGGGATTTGGGATTTGCCCCACAAGTTCAGGATGGGATTTGCCCCACAATTCAGGATGGGATTTGGGATTTGCCCCCATCCCAGCATGGGATTTGCCCCACAATTCAGGACGGGATTTGGGATTTGCCCCACAAGGACAGGAAGGGATTTGGGATTTGCCCCACATGGACAATTTGGGATTTGCCCCACAAGTTCAGGATGGGATTTGCCCCACAAGTTCAGGATGGGATTTGCCCCACTATTCAGGATGGGATTTAGGATTTGCCCCACAAGGATAGGAGGGGTTTTGGCATTTACCCCACAACAATAGGATGGGATTTTGGATTTGCCCCAAAATTCAGGGTGGGATTTGCCCCACAATTCAGGACGGGATTTGGGATTTGCCCCACAAATTCAGGACGGGATTTGCCCCGTGAGGACACAATGGGATTTGTGATTTGCCCCATCCCAGGACAGGATTTGGGATTTGCCCCACAAGGACAGGATGGGATTTGGGGTTTGCCCCACACCAATGACAGGGTGGGATTTGCCCCACAATTCAGGACGGGATTTGGGATTTGCCCCCATCCCAGGACAGGATTTGCCCCCACCCCCCATTTGCCCCCCCCAGGCCGGGCTGGCAGCTGCCCCAGCACACAGAGGGTTAAAAGGGGCCCTGCCTTCCTCCTCACCTGCTGGGCTGCTCCTCTTCCTCCCGGCCTCCTCCTCCTCCTCCTCCATGGGGCCGAGCTTGGCCCTGGGGGATCCTGGCGTGGGGCAGAACAGGGGCTGAGCGCTGTGGGGCTATATTGGTGTATTGTTTTAATTCAAATTTTATTTTAATATAATATATATCTTTAACAATATAATTTTAATTAATATCTATATCCATAGTTTTAATAAATAATTTTATTTTTATATAGTAAAATTAATATGATAATAAAGATATATATTTTAATAATATATTAATATATAGTTTTAGTATATAATTTTCTTTTGATAAATATATATAACAAAATAATAAACATATATTTTAATAATAAATTAATAGATAGTTTTAGTGTATAATTTTCTTTTCATAAATATATATAATAAAATGATAAATAGAATTTTAATTAATATATATTAATATATAGTTTTAAAGTATAATTTTCTTTCAATGTAATATATAATAAAATAAACCATGCAATTTTAATATCTATATTAATATATATAGGTTATTATGCTAATATAATATAATGTAATATAATGTAATACAATGTAATATAATGTAATATAATGTAATATAATGTAATATAATGCAATACAATAATACAATGTAATACAATATAATGTAGTGTAATATTAAATATAAATTTAATTAATATATACAGCTTTAGTATATAATTTTCTTTTAATGTAACATATAACAAGTAATACACACAATCCTAATTTATACATATTAATAAATCCAGTTTAATGTATCATTGGGGCAGAACAAGGGCTGAGCGCTCTGGGGCTGCTGCTGGAGGGCTCAGAGCCCCTTCCAGCCTGGAGATCTCCTGAAAAATCTCTTTTTTAGGGTTTTTTCCCCTCTCCTGAGCAGCCGAGGAGCCTCTGAGGAAAAGATAAACAAGAATTATCTGCGGCTGTGGAATGCAACAGGCGCCGCCGGGATTGGGCCGCGCTGGGTGTTTTTAATTTGTTTTTAATTAATGGCCAATCACGGCGAAGGTGGCTCGGATTCTCTCAGGGTCAGCCGCTTTTGTTATCATTCCATTCCTTTTCTCTTCCTTCCCAGCCTTCTAAAGAATTCCTTTTGTCTATTTTTAGCGCGGTTTTAATGTGTAATTTTATTTTAATAAAATATATATGATAAAATAATAAATCAGCCTTCTGATGAAATCCTTTCTTCTATTTTTTAGTGTTGTTTTAATGTATACTTTTCTTTTAATATACGTCTTAAAAAATATAATT